AAACCTTCAAATCTTGAAAAAATCAACCTTTATTATGAAGAGCTTTGCAAGATGGGTGGGGGAGGGAATCTAAATCACGGCGTGGGGTGTTCCTGCTTGTGCTGTGTACGGCTGTCCGATGCATGTCCAGGTTGTATGCACGTACGTTGAATTTCTTTCGCACCCTACGTAGCCAGCCGTGCTAATTGGCGGTGCGTGTTGTCACGGGGGACGATGCCCGACGTTCTGCCTCCCCGCACTAGCTTGGGGCCTGTGCAATTTAATGACATTTGTAACTTGTAATTGATATCTAAATTACACACACCGACAGCATCGGTGCGTGTAATTTAGATGTCAATTACAGTGTGGCCGATTGCCTCGAGGATACGTCCCTAATTGCAAGACAACTTTATAATAAAGATTTGTTCTAATTGTATCAGCTAATTGTATCAACTTATCGTCACCGACCCCCCGTGTTACGGATGGTTTCATTGTTGGGCGGGGGGGGTCACCTGACTTCTCTGTTTGCAGGTACACGGGAGCGGCCCCCTCCCCTCCCCCGGGCTCCCAGTACACGTCGCCCTCTGAGAACCTGTGGAACTCAACGGGTACCTACGGGGTCGCACCCGGTAACGACCGCGTCTCAATCGCTCACTCACTCGCTCTCAATCACTCGGTCAATCACACGCTCAGTCACGCGCTCAGTCACGCGCTCAGTCACGCGCTCAGTCACGCGCTCAGTCACGCGCTCAGTCACGCGCTCTGGCACGCGCTCTGGCACGCGCTCAGTCACCCGCTCAGTCACGCGCTCAGTCACGCGCTCAGTCACGCGCTCAGTCACGCGCTCAGTCACGCGCTCTGTCACGCGCTCTGTCACGCGCTCTGTCACGCGCTCTGTCACGCGCTCAGTCACGCGCTCAGTCACCCGCTCAGTCACGCGCTCAGTCACCCACCTAGTCACACAATCACCCACCTAGTCACACAACTCAATTGCACACTCGCGTGCTGCCTTGTCCACCCACCTGGCTGCTTGAACACTCACCCGCTCACTCGTTTAGCCAATACATCGTCGTTTTTTTTGCCCGTTTAACTTTACCACTTACTCGTCCACTAGCTCACCCGCCCACTACTTCACCCACTCACTAGCTCACCCGCCCACTACTTCACCCACTCACTAGCTCACCCGCCCACTACTTCACCCACTCACTAGCTCACTTGCCCACTCCTGCATCACTGACCCACCTGGCCACCTCCCCCAAACTCAGCCTTGACGGCCTTCTCCCGTCCGTGTGCGTCTTTCTGTCCACAGCCGGGGTGATGCCAGCTGCCTACGATCTCAGCTCAGTCATGGGGACCGGGGGGTTCGGCGTCTCCCACAACAACCTCATCCCCGTCGGTGAGTCACAGCGCTACGAGGACGGGTGGGGGGTGATGGCACGAACCTCCTTCCCCGACAGCCTTTGGAGCAAGTAGCCCCCCTTTTCACATGCATTTCATTTCCGTTGCTTTTCATAAGGTGGTCGTCTGCGATTTTTTTTTTTATCTTTGCGAGCACACATGCACGGGCGTCGCATGGCGTGGCTGTGGCCACCCTTGATAGGCGCTCGCTAACAGCACTTGCCCCCTACAGTCTGCTATACGGGGGGGGGGGGATCTCTGTCTTTGTCTTTGCTCCCCAGCGAACGCGGGCATCGTGAACCACAGCCCCGCGCGGCAGGGCTCCATCATGAGCACGGGCTTCGTGCAGGGTGAGTGGCGCTCGCTCCGACCGCTCGCACCCAACGTCAGTGCAGCCAACTTGGGCTCGGCAAACCCAAAGAGAGCGAGGCTTAACCCCCCCGTGTAAATGCGTCTTCGCTCGCCAGCGGTCTTTGCTGTTCGTATGGCAGGAAGCAAAAGCGACAGGTTGGGAGATGTGTCGTGGTTGAAAATAAAGTTTGCAATCTTCCGTTTGTAGAAGGCGAACGCGTGTCTCCCACGCCGCGCTCGAACGCGGTCTAGCGAGCTTTGCCACGTACATAGCCGCCCACGAAATCCGTCCAGCGAGTGCCGATGCACAATTACGGAGACGCCGACGCCGATCGCCACCGATAATTACATCCTCGAGGATAAATCTCGTCATGGCCTTGCGTTTTCGTGCCATCATGAGTCAAAACACAAGCGTGTACACGCGCACACACGTGCACACACACGTGCGCGACTGTGCACCAGAAGCTGCGGAGCAAACACAACTATACGAGTGTGACACGTGGACACAAAGACCCTCGCCTCCTTGTGCCCAACCCTGTGAGCGCAATCTCAATCCGATTCCTTGCCGCCGCCGCTGCTGCCAAACGCTGAAAGTGCTGCTCCTACTCGTGCTGCTCCTACTCGTGCTGCTGCTGCTCCTACACGTGCTGCTGCTGGTGCTGCTCCTACACATGCTGCTGCTGCTCGTGCTGCTCCTGCTGCTCCTACTCGTGCTGCTGCTGCTGCTGCTCCTACTCGTGCTGCTGCTGCTCCTACTCGTGCTGCTGCTGCTCCTACTCGTGCTGCTGCTGCTGCTCCTACTCGTGCTGCTGCTGCTGCTGCTCCTACTCATGCTGCTGCTGCTCCTACTCGTGCTGCTGCTGCTCCTACTCGTGCTGCTGCTGCTGCTCCTACTCGTGCTGCTGCTGCTCCTACTCGTGCTGCTGCTGCTCCTGCTGCTGCTCCTGCTGCTGCTCGTGCTGCTGCTGCTCGTGCTGCTGCTGATTCTCGTGCCTGCCGGAGGAGGAAGAGGCGGCGGCGGCGCTCTGGGTTCTTGTCGTGGCAGGGCGTGACCGTTGTGCCGTGGTGTTTTGCGAGCGCAGGGGGGTCGAGCCTGCAGCCCAGCAGCTCCTACTACCCGGTGAACGTGCCCTTCTCCATGTCGGGCGCCGCCATCTCCATGGCGTCGCCCATGTCCATGGTCACGAGCTCCGTGGTGCACTACGGCAGCTGAGGCCCGCGCCATGCCAGCGCCCGCCCGCCCGCCCTGCCGCCACAACCCCCTTGCCGCGTGGCGACCAACGTCCGACACCGCAACCACCCACGCCCCCCCCCTCCTGCCCCCAAAACCAACGGACGCGCCGAGTCTCCCCCGCGCACTGCGGACTTCTCCAGGGTCCACGGGGAAGACCCCGTGGCACCACGAACTCTGAACTTTGGCGGCTGCTGATGTACGGGATGGGGGAAGTCTGACTGCTGCTGATGGCGTGTGCAAGCAGGGTTTATTTTCTCATCGAATGTTTTCCGGGTAGCTACTAAGGCTGGAGGGTTACGCGTGACTGATGTACCAGACGATGGCGAAAGATGTGTACTGGATGTGGTGTGCCGGGTGTGCGGAAATAATTGACGCGGTTGACATTAAGCTCTGCCGTTGCGCGTGATGACGACGAGTCTGTTGAGTTATTGTTTTAGTTTTGTTCTTGCGCATCTCCCCCACAACTCCGCGTTTTTTATCTCCACCAAATGTGTCAACAGTTGAACGTTCCTGCCAGTCAACACGCCGGTGTTGGGTTTTGAAGGTCTCTGGTCGGGTCTCTGTCCGTCAGGTTCTCGCCACACTCGGTTAGAGCGAAGCTGCGTGCGTGCTCGCTCCAGGTGCCGTTTAATGCGCCCCGCGCGCCCCAACGCGGCGCTTTGGTTCAGGAAGTTAACGGACGGGAGACGTTTTGCCCCGACGAGTCGTGTTGGTCGCAACTCCACGCCCGGGGCTGCGTCTCTCTCTTCGTGGCTTTGCCGTTCACGCGGCCGGTGTAGACGATCCCTACGTATCTTTGAAACTTTTTTGGTGCGTGCTAACGAACTTGTGAAATTCTTGGGGGTTGATGGGTGCCACCCCCCCCCCCCCCCCCCCATCGTGGAATTCTTTATGGAGGCCGTGGGTTAATGTAGCCCAAAGAGGGAGGGGGCCCCCCTTGCACGTTCTCTCGCCTAATGCTATTGGGCCAAAAATCCATACCGGGCGCATTTTTGAAGGTAAGGCTACTACACAATTTATTGTCGATTAGTACCGTTATATTTTTTTTCGTTCGATTATAAAGCGATGGAGGTTGCCGTCCTACTGGGCTACACTGGCTCGCGTCGACGGGAGTCTCGAGCGAGGGGAAGGAAATTAGTTATTCCTGCAGTATGGTTTTCTTTTTTTTACTTCATCGGAAGGAATTTGGTGGTCTGTTTTCAATAAAATTGTTGCGTACAATGGTTAGTCCCTTGGTCGCGTGTGCTTCTCATTGTGCTGCCAGCTGCGGATGTGTAAATTAAGTCGTTGGTTGCCTCGAAAGAATGTCTAAAGGTACAGCCCTGCAATTTATTGCTCGCACCACTGCTGCTGGATAAGTCCTGTCGTGAGGGAGCTCTAGAGAGCCTTTGGCCTACTCTTCCATGTAGGCCAGACTTCCTGGAAGGTGGGAGTATCCACACGTTTACCCCCATTGCATACGACCTCCTGGTCGTTGGTTGTACCGGCTGGCTAGACAGGTGTGGGTTTAAAAAATTAACCCGTAAAAACAAAGTTTTTCACTATAAATCCTTTATATGCGTGGTGGCTAGAGTCCTCTCGTCCTCTGGCTTGAGATGGTTGCCACCGATGGGTCAGATGATTGCCTGCCACCATTAAGCAATTGGTAATTAAATATAATTAATTTTTTCCTAAAAAGTGTAAAATTTTGGAAAAAAAATTTCACGAAAATAAATTGCCACGCACAACGAGTCTGTGTGCAAAATGTCAGCTCGATTGGATCACGGGAAGTGAGTTAAACGACCGAAAGATTTGCACGGTCGTAAGCGCGCAAGCGAGCGAACTTAATATAAAGGATTTAAAAACTTGCACCATTGTTTCAAAAATACCGGGGCTGCGAGATGGAACCTGCAGCCTCTGGAGTGTACAGTGTGGGAACCAGTAGGCCCACTTATCAACAGCAGTAATAATATTTGCATAGGCAAACGTTACATGTTTCCTGGTGGAGTAAAAGTCGGGAGTAAGTTGTCTTGAAATGCACGAGTCATTTAAGCGAAAAAAGAATGATACTATTTGTTTGTCAACTCAAGTATAGGACTGGCTTAAAATATCAATGGAAAGGGACTGCATTAACACGAAGTTACCATTAACATTTTCAGCCAAATTCAATATTACAGAGCAGGGGGTCGCAGTAACATGCGTACCTCAACCATAGGAAGATAAAGTAATTCAAGGAAGAACAGTAAATTAGACATGACCTATCCACTGTTAGATGACCCCCTCCCTGGCCACACTATCATCATCTCTGGTCCAGGTGATACAAAATGTCAATTCATCAGCTTGGTGAGCATGTCGCTCCATGTACAGGAGCCATCTGCATTGCTCCATCTCCGCAACGAACGTCCTCTCTGGCATATCTTGGGTGGTCTCGACCATTAGCCATCATCACCTCTTCTGGCTGTGTTCTGTCCAAGCCCACTAACTTTAAGTCATTGTCTTTGACCTGAGTGTACTCTAATCCATGTTCCTATTTCTCCTGTCCATGTCTCTCCCCATGTCTCCAAGTGTCCCATCTCTGCCTCCCCTCCCCGTGTCTCTCCATCCTGTTTCTCCCCTCTCCACGTTTTCTCCATCACGGTCTCCCATTTCCACACCTCCCGGCGTCTCCACGCTCTCCTTCCCTGTGGTCTTCCAGTCCCATACCTCCGTCTCCCCTCTCGCTCCCCGCGGTCTCCCCCCGTACTCGTGTTTCCCTCTTCTTACGTGCGTCTACCCCGTCTCGCTCCTGGCGTGCCTTCCCACGTAACCTCTTGGCGCCGTCCTGCCCGCTCGTCCTCGGCTCGAACTCCGGCCGCGGCTGCGGGTGCATGCGCTTCACGTGCTCGTCCAGCGTGAAGGCCCGCGCGAACGGCAGACCGCACTCGTGGCACAGGTATGGCCGCTCGCCCGTGTGGGTGCGAGCGTGCTTGGCGAGCACGTCGCTCCGCGCGAACGTCCGGCCGCAGCGGCCGCAGACGAAGGGCCTCGCGCCCGAGTGCCAGCGCAGGTGCTTGTGCAGCGTTGCCGACTGCGTGTAAGCCTTGGGGCACAGGTGGCAGGCGTAGGCCCGCGTGCCCGTGTGCACCGCGCCGTGCCGCGCCAGGCTGTCGGGCTGCGTGAACGCGCGGGGGCACGCGGGGCACCGGAAGACCCTCTCGGCCCCGTGGTTGCGCTCGTGCCGCACTGCCGCCCACTGGCTGCCGAACGCTTTGCCGCACTTGCCGCACTCGAAGCTGCGCTCGCCCGCGGGCGCGTGGGACAGCTGGTGCCTCCGCAAGCCGCCCGCGTATCGGTACGTCTTGCCGCACTTGGCGCAGACGAAGCTTCCCCACTTCTTCTTGTTGCCTTCGCGATGCTCGGCCGCCGGTTGCAGCGGCCTCGACTGCTTCTCTCTCAACCGGCGCCGCTTCTCCTCCGCTCCCAACTTGTGCCCTCGTTTGATGAACACAGACCGGCACTGCGGTGGATGCGTACCGAGCGAGGTGGAAGACGCACGGCACTGGAGGAGTTCACTCACAGACCTGGGTAACCTCGTGAGATGAATCCTGATCTCCATGATTTTGTTGTGACCGTTTGGGCTTTGGCAGAGCTTCAAGAGGTCGGACGATCCGTCCCTTTTCAAACGCGGGGATGAACGTGCCGTGCCGGGCTCGGAGCTTGAGTCGGCCACATCTATTGATAATACATGACGATAAAATACAGACGTGAACATTTATTTTGGATTTTTCCCTCCCAGCCCCCTCCCCTAATTATTTTAATTGTGCTCGTGTAGTATAATATCATGCGATGAAGGATTTGGAAATCTTCGTTGAGCCTTGCACCCAGAGTTGTTGCAGAACACCCCATGGAAGAAAACAGTTCCACAGGACTTTTGAATAAGTATAACCCGTAAAAACAAAGTTTTTCACTCTAAATCCTTTATATGCATGGCGGCTAGAGTCCTCTCGTCCTCTGGCTTGAGATGGCTGCCACCTATGGGTCAGATGATTGCCTGCCAGTATTAAGCAATTGGTAATTAAATATTTAATTTGTTTTCCCTAGTGTCAGCTCGATTGGATCACGGGAAGTGGGTTAAAAAACGACCGTAAGATTTGCACGGTCGTAAGCAAGCAAGCACGCAAGCAAGCGAACTTAATATAAAGGATTTTAAAAAGTGATCTCTTTCCTTGAGACGAGTGTTCTTCACTCATGGGGTCACGTTCGCCGATAAGACCTCATCGGTGTGAGGGCCGCCACACATTTGAAACCATTGGGGGTTTGTGACAGCAGCACATCAGAGCCGCACGTGGCCTTGCAATGAAGGCCACTGCTTTACTTGATAGGGGGCGTGCTTTCCCAGAAGCTCTTGCTGTGAGATTAACGCCACGGTATTTAAAACAGATATACTGTAAAGCCTTGGATTGCGAGCATAATTAGTTCCGGAAAAGTGCTTGTAATCCAAAGCACTCGTACATCAAAGCACTCGTATATCAGTTGTGATCACGTGACGCTCGGAAGACAAAGCGTATACACGTGCTACTCGTATTGCAAGACCTCGCTCGTTTATCAAATTCATATTTAATAAAAATAAATTGCTCGTCTTGCAAAACACTCGCAGACCAAGACACTCGCAATCCAAGGTTTTACTGTATATTTTTTTTTCTGAATTATAATTCAACATATCGATGCTTTTTCTGTGCATTGTTTTGGTGGCCGGGCTGACACCCAACAATTTCACTTAACTTGAGAAAACGTATTTCATTATGGGTGACCGAGACCTGGAGTCAAACCCAGGGCTTTAATCTGTGCCGGTTCAACCACGCCGGGCACATCCTTTGAAACTCGACCACTGCCAAGCGCCTCCACTGCTTTGGGTGTTTCTAGCATTGTGGTTGAGACGCAAATTAACTCGTGCTCTTAAAGTCGCGTGGAGTAAACATTTACACCAGAAGAAGGGGAATTTGTCATTGTTAGGCCGCTTTCCAATGCGCGCATAACGCGGCTAAGCTCAAATCTTGTGCGTACACGTAATGTAGTGGCGATAGGCCCTGATAAGGGGTGTATGTGTTTTAAAGACTTAACAAGACTATAGGATCAAGTGCTGTAAGCGAGCACCTACAGCATAAAGACAGTCATTCATGTACAGGATGGTCCAGATGTCTTGTGACCCCCCCCCCCCCCATTTAATTCCATAAAACTTAATTATTTTTCAAACACAAATGAATGTGCAAAGGGGGCATTTTTTAGAGGTCAATTAATTGGTCGGTCAGAACACATCTGGACCATCCTACCACAATATTTAGAAACAACACACACACACAACACAAAGCACACACGTCATGCACATTATTATACAACAACACAGCAGACACCACGACCAGTCGTACACGAGGACGCACTCGGGCACACCAGTCGCACGCAGCCAGTCAGACAACGAACCTTCATCTTCATCTTCTTCCTTCACGACTTCGGTCTTCACGACGACCGGTGCGAGGTGATGAACCTGGACGCGTACCCTCTCGCCCTCCACAGCAGCAGCAGCACCACCACCACCATCATCACCACCATCATCACCACCACCACCACCATCATCACCACCATCACCACCACCACCACCATCACCACCACCATCATCACCATCATCGTCCCACGCGAACACCTCCTCCTTCACGGTGCGGACCTGCTCACCAACCTCCTCACCCACCTCATCGCTCACCATCCTCGCCTCCTCACCCTCCACCCTCACCTCCTCCTCACCCGCCTCGCTCACCTCCTCACCCTCAACCCTCACCTCCTCACCCTCCTCCACCCTCACCTCCTCACCCTCCTCCACCCTCACCACCTCACCCACCACTCTCACCTCCTCACCCGCCACCCTCACCTCCTCACCCTCACCTCCTCCTCACCCGCCTCGCTCACCTCCTCACCCTCAACCCTCACCTCCTCACCCTCCTCCACCCTCACCTCCTCACCCTCCTCCACCCTCACCTCCTCACCCTCCTCCACCCTCACCACTCTCACCTCCTCACCCGCCACCCTCACCTCCTCACCCTCCACCCTTACCTCCTCACCCTCCACCCTCACCCTCCTCCCTCACCTCCTCACCCTCCACCCTCACCTCCTCACCATCCTCCCTCACCTCCTCACCCTCACCCTCCTCCCTCACCTCCTCACCCTCCACCCTCACCCTCCTCCCTCACCTCCTCACCCTCCTCCCTCACCTCCTCACCCTCCACCCTCACCCCTCACCTCCTCACCCTCCTCCCTCACCTCCTCACCCTCCACCCTCACCCTCCTCCCTCACCTCCTCACCCTCCTCCCTCACCTCCTCACCCTCCACCCTCACCCTCCTCCCTCACCTCCTCACCCTCCACCCTCACCCTCCTCCCTCACCTCCTCACCCTCCACCCTCACCCTCCTCCCTCACCTCCTCACCCTCCTCCCTCACCTCCTCACCCTCCACCCTCACCCTCCTCCCTCACCTCCTCACCTTCCACCCTCACCCTCCTCCCTCACCTCCTCACCCGCCACCCTCACCTCCTCACCCGCCTCCCTCACCTCTCGGGACCCCCCGCGACGCCTCTCCCGCTGCCCCCGGCCTCGGCGAGCCTCGCTCGGCGCGGGTTCTAGGCAAGAGCCGGGGGTCCCGTGGGGTTTAGGCCACAAATGCAACAGGGGGCTTGCTGAAGTCCCGCCGCTCTCGACGAGACGGGGAACTTGAAGAGCGCGTGAAGAACCCCCCCACCTCCTCCTCGGAGCCGAACGAGGTGAAGGGAAAGGCGCGTAAAGTACCCGCCAGCTGCCCCACACGTGGCGGTGGTGAACGAGCTGAAGAAGAAGAAGACGCGGACGCCGCAGAGTCCCCTCCCCCCCCCCACAGGGTCCCCTCCCCCCCACAGGGTCCCCCCCCCCCCCACCCCCCACAGGGTCCCCCCCCCCACCCCCCACAGGGTCCCCCCCCCCCACAGGGTCCCCTCCCCCCCACAGGGTCCCCCCCCCCCACCCCCCACAGGATCCCCCCCCCACAGGGTCCCCTCCCCCCCACAGGGTCCCCCCCCCCCACCCCCCACAGGGTCCCCCCCCCCACCCCCCACAGGGTCCCCCCCCCCACAGGGTCCCCCCCCCCACCCCCCACAGGGTCCCCCCCCCCACAGGGTCCCCTCCCCCCCACAGGGTCCCCCCCCCCCCACAGGGTCCCCTCCCCCCCACAGGGTCCCCCCCACCCCACAGGGTCCCCTCCTCCCCACAGGGTCCCCTCCCCCCCCACAGGGTCCCCTCCCCCCCACAGGGTCCCCTCCCCCCCCACAGTGTCCCCTCCCCCCCACAGGGTTTCCTCCCCCCCACAGGGTCCCCTCCCCCCCACAGGGCCCCTCCCCCCCCACAGGGTCCTCTCCCCCCCACAGGGTCCCCCCCCCACAGGGTCCCCCCCCCCCACAGGGTCCCCTCCCCCCCCACAGGGTCCCCTCCCCCCCCACAGGGTCCCCTCCCCCCCACAGGGTCCCCTCCCCCCCACAGGGTCCCCTCCCCCCCACAGGGTCCCCTCCCCCCCCACAGGGTCCCCTCCCCCCCACAGGGTCCCCTCCCCCCCCACAAGGTCCCCCCTCCCCCCCACAAGGTCCCCTCCCCCGCACCCCCCACAGGGTCCCCTCCCCCCACAGGGTCCTCCCTCCCCCCCTCCCCCTCACAGGGTCCCCTCCCCCCCCACAGGGTCCCCTCCCCCACTCCCCCCACAGGGTCCCGGGTTCGAACCTTCGCAGTGGCAGGTGATCGGTTCAAGTTCCTCGGCTGGAGAACAGCTCGAGGTCCCACTCGAGGTCCCACGGGCCGCTGCGGTGGCAAGATGTTAACTCCCTCGCCTGGTCTACAGGAGGTCGTGGGTTCAATACCGACCCTGACGCCTGCTGCTGTATATTTGGAGTTTGCGTGTCTCTCTCATCATCACCACAGTGGCTAGGAGATGTTAACTGCCTCGCCTGGTATACAGGAGGTCGTGGGTTCGATCCCGACCCTGATGCTGCTGTATATTTGGAGTTTTTCTCTATGAACGTGGTCGCGTGGGTTTTTCCCCCGGTCCTCTGGTTGTTCCCTCCACATTTAGAATCAACATCACGCGTTTAGAGTATTTGGCTGCTCAAAATGTCCACGAGATTATAAGCAACTTTGTTGAGCTTACGACCTGTGGCCAGGTAGCTTCTGAAAGAGCGTTTGGAGCTCAGCGGTTCTTACCTGGTCAAATAAAGATGTTGTTATATAAACAGTAGTTTTTTGTATTCTTGGTTCTTTCGTTAAAGTCACGTAGATAGAAAGCAAAAAAGAAAATAAATAAAAATGATGAAAGCAAAAAATAAAAGTGAAATCAAATGAAAATAAGCAATAAAAATAATTAGAAAATATTGCAATTTAAATGTTTATTTATTTATAAAAATTTTATTTTTTGTTTTCTATCTACGTGACTTTACCGAAACAACCAAGAATATGAGTTCCTGCAGTCACGATTCAGTCGTTTGTGCCCCGAGCTCCTGGCACCCCCGACGGACGGCCACGTCTCCACTTGCCAAGTCTGGAGTCGTCGTCACTTGGATTTCTTCCCACGCTCCACTCCCAGGCGCCCTGCCCTTCTTGCGCCGTTTGGTTCCACAGCTCACCAGCAATCATCATCGTTTCAATTTCTGGGACCAAACGTGACGTAAAGGCCCTTCGTCCAGCAGTGCATTTACAAACTCGATGGACTTGCACAAAATCATGCCCCAGCCCCTTTTGTGGGGGGGGCGGTGGTGGAGCGATCAGCACGCGATCCGAGTTCGACTCTCGCTCACGAACAACACCAGTGACGATTATCTGACCGGTTCTGGGCCTTCCTTAGGTCGGCTCGGACTCAAATAAGTACCTGGTGCGGTGTAACAAATAAATTGCCACTGGGGAGACAAAGGCGGTCGGGCATGGTGCTAGCCACCTACCCACTCCCTCGTGTACCGGGCCGGCCTTCATGTGCTACTCGCTAACAGCACTTGCCACAACAGTCTGTTAAGGCTACACGGGGGATCTTTGTCTTTGTTGCCGATCTCTTCTCTCCGATGCCCGGCGGTATCGTGGGCCAGCAAGTCCAGGCGGTGTTCTTTGATGACCGATGTGTTTTACAGCAGCGGCAGACTTTCTCGTTTGTCATCACGTCATCGCATGATGCACGTGTACAAATCGTAAACAATGACAAGGGAACAGCAGCCGACACGTTTGCGAAGATGCGTGGCGAGATGAATGCTCCGAAAGTGAACCACGTGTGGATAGAGAACAATCACATTAAACACATTCCTCCTGCGGAGGGAGCTGGTAGGAACGTTGGGTTGCTCGGTCAATGGCCAGGGTCAACGGCGGCGTGGTGTATTCCGCAAATATGCCCGACTGTGAGGGCGGGCACAAGCCGGCGTGAGTAGGTTAAACTATGAGTTTTATAAGGGGACCACGGGGTGACCAGCCCCTCCCCACCCAGCCCCACCCCCCACCCTCCCCACCCAGCCCCACCCTCCCCACCCAGCCCCACCCTCCCCACCCAGCCCCACCCTCCCCACCCAGCCCCACCCTCCCCACCCAGCCCCACCCTCCCCACCCAGCCCCACCCTCCCCACCCAGCCCCACCCTCCCTCCCCACCCAGCCCCACGACTTGACAAGCAAGACGCAACAATGGGATGAGCTCATGCGCAGGCGCGAGATGATGCACTGTGGCAATGCGAGACCACAGCAGTGTGAAGCGGCCTTCATCACACAGCGGACAACGGTCGACGATTAATGTAACCGCAATTAAATTGCACGAGATGTAATTTTGCATACATACATGAATCTGACACCAAGGTCTGGAAACTGACAGGCTTTCGAGCAGTCCGGAGCTTGGCTCCACACCTCCGACTTTACTGCAAAATCTGCAACGGTTTCTTGCAAAACGTTAAGCTCTAGTACTGGTAGGAACCACCTGGTTCCACCAGCCCACAGGGGAATTATTGTGTCCGTCCGTCGTGCATACAAAAATGGGATGGGTAGGGATGGGTGGAGAGGGGAGGGTGGGGAGGGGCTGGGTGGGGTGGGGCTGGTGGGGTGTGGCTGGTCACCCCGTGGTGCCCTTATAAAACTCAACGTTTAACCTACTCACGCCGGCTTGTGCCCGCCTTCACAGCCGGCCATATTTGCGGAATACACCACGCCGCTGTTGACCCTGGCCATTGACCGAGCAACCCAACGTTCCTACCAGCTCCCTCCGCAGGAATGTTTTAAAGACGAGCCACTGTGAAAAAATGAGAAATATCAATTAAAACAATGGCCTCATTAATGTGTATTCTTTGTGTCTTTCGGTTAAAATATTCACACCGCAAACCTCACATCGCAAATGTTTTCAATCATTTATTATCAACAAAGCCTTCAAAATACAGATCACCGTAGAACCGTATGTCCATGACTTACAGGATTAAATACAAAACCTCTGCCTTTATTGTGAATTAAGCAAATTAATCGTTTTATCATCTACTTTATTAAATACACAGTTTGGTAGTTAGACGTCAATGTTAACGTTGCATTTGAAAAGCTCCCCCACGCAGCAGCATGCACATAAGACTTAACTACCGATTACATTGTGTTACCACAAACTTCACCGGTGAGCCGAAGCAATGAACCTTTGGCAGTCGTTAACCGTAACAAATAACATCATATTTAGACCTGCTATTATCTGGAAACGATTTTTTTTTAACGGGACAGTTAAATCGGGCCGCATTTACGCTGCTGTGGCTGTTTCAGTAACAAAAACGCTCCGACAAGTCCATTCCAGCGTTGATCACACTTCTCGTGTTTATCTTCACCGACAATGCAGGAAGCCCCGGTGTGTGACATCCCCGAAACTTCCTGTAAAGACGCATCTCAAGATCTCAACCTTGGTCTTTCCCATTTCAAGCTACAAGCCCAATGTCCCATTTTTAAACCAAGTTCTGCTCTTCTGAATTTCACAATTGTCCGTAGTCGTCAGTGTCACAGCACGTGACCATATCACCAAGAACGCGTCCCATCTCCACGGGGACCTCTCAAGTGAAGGGTCGCAGAAGCAGCCTGCATGGCGCTTGGAAGGGCAACCCACCGCACAATGAACTCCAGGAGTGTGCTTGCTGCGTGGCAACGTTGTGAGGGCGGCAGAGGGCAATGCAGCACAATCTATAGTTCTGGACCAGTGGTCCACCACCTCTCCAGCGATGCATCATGGCCCAATTCAACGTACTCTTCGTAGTCTTCTTGGTTCTTTCGGTAAAGTCACGTAGAAGGGAAATAATAAAATAATATACATTAACCAATTTAATTATTCTCGCGACGTTTCGGCCACAACGCAAGCAGCCGTCCTCAGGTGAAGAACAGGTCTGTCGGAAAGACAGCGTATGAATTCAGACGCTGTCTTTCCAACAGCCCTGTTCTTCACCTGAGGACGGCTGCTTGCGTTGTGGCCGAAACATCGTGAGAATTAGTTTATGTTTTATTTTTTATTATTTTATTATTTCCCTTCTACGTGACTTTACCGAAAGAACCAAGAAGATGAATCCCTGCAGTCACGAAAGCTTTAAATCGAAATTTACTCTTCGTAGGTCAACATATTTCTTAACCCGCGAATGTCTTCAAATCCATGTGGCTCCTCTGTTTGTGTAATTTCAAGCATCTTAATTCGCACCTTTTCTTTCGTTCTCTGCCCGATGACAAATGCTCAGTTCAACCCTCCTGCACCCCCTGTCCAATCTTCAACTCTATTTTCTTCTGTTTCACCGTCCAGTCCCAATCCTCGGCCACCGTTTCTTAAAGGCTTCAACAAGCACGTTAATCGGGGGTCGCACAAAAACTCAGCACCATCATCATTTGCAGTGCCCAAGAAAATGTTCTCACACACCCCCGGCAGAGTGGGTGTTTTTGGAGGCGAGCACAGCCAGAAGGCAATGGACTTACAGATGGAGGCAGCATACGGCAATGCTAAGAACAGGTGCAGTGTATTTGGTTCATCACTGTAAAGACACCACACCAACTGTGAACCATTCATACTGTAGAATTGGGATATGCAATGTGGTCAGTTAATCAAATAAAAACTATTATTTTACAATAATACAGCACACCACTGAAATACAGGCATAATTCAGAGGTATGCCATGGCATACCCTGTTATTCTTATACAGATAAAATTGGCCTGGAGGTGGTGGTGGTGGAGCAGTGGTGCAGTTAGGGACTTTGTTACAGTACAGTACTAAACGCAGCTAACGGCAGATCACAGCACGACTTTGACCACTTAAGTCTCGAGCTTTCGGGGAGGGTGCGACTTTCATTTATATTGTTTCCTCTCAAATTTTAGCGGTCCCCCGCAAGCCCCTCCCCGCTCACACGGGGGCAGCGATATAAATCCACGTAGGGTTGTGTTGAGGACACTCCCGATTTGTGGAGTGTCCCAACGTGCTTAAGTTACGACAGATTAAGCTTTCATTACACCAGTGCAACTGGACACACCAAATCCAGTCAACGTGATGGTCATAACAAAATATACAAAAGTATTTCATTTGCGTCGGGAAAGCTTGTTTTAACTTTCCTTATTCCCCAGCAAGACTTTTAAGTGGAGCGAATACATTTGTGGATCGGTGTGAAAGTTCAAAAACGGACTTTGACATAGGCATAATGATTTCGCGATCTGGCAAGACCCTGGGCGCCATGGTTCTCAGACCCCCCCAACCACACCCCACGATTCGTAAAAAAAATTAACTGAATTAAATCCCTCGTACAACTAAAAGATATACAATTACAAATATTTTCACATAGGGTACACATTCTTTCTATTATAACGATACAGAAAATAAAAAGATATTTGTTTTTACCATTCCAGCCCACGGTAACAACGTACAGTAGTAGGTAAGTGGTTTGAATAGTCGCCAAAAGAGCGGAATCCATCGGCCAATCCGTCATCGGATAAATGATTCCCAGTTCAAAAGCCCATAAGTGATTAAGTATCACTTTACCGAGTAGTTAAACAAACCCATTACCTACTTATATACCGATGAGACACACACCCACCCAAGAGGAAACTGGAGTACCTGGAGAAAACCCTCACAAAAGGGAAAACCCCCCTCTCAAACAGACAAGACTCATCAGCAATCTGCTTCGCGCACTGCCAGCGACTGGCCACCCCCTCAACCTCTCCGGTTGGGAATCTCACAACCGCCACCAACCTCGGGAGGGGGGGGGGGGCCTACAGGCGTGGAGCTTCATAGGCACGGAACGAATCCACGTCACGATAAAAAACGAATTGTCCCCTGGGCCAATTCCGTGGCGATTCGATCTGCCGGAGATTCTCGCCGTTTGTATAATCTCATTTTGTCTCGTGTTTTTAAATATCCTAGCAGTTGACATCGGGCTTATCCTAGCAGTAACGCGCAAGGCTTTGTACTTACATTGAGCCCAATTTCCACAGGCGGTCGCCAACACACTCCCAACTCCGATTAGCGTGGTTGGCTACGTAGGGTGCGAAAAAAGTTCAACATTTACATATATAGGAACATATATATTCCAACCATCCTGTGCCGTGCACAGGATGGTGGGAAATTAATCATTTAATAATTATATTGTCGGGTGGGAGAGGGGAGCTTTTCCCATCCCCACCCCTCCGCCCTCTGGTACAGCCCTAAAATCAATCTGCTCCTGGATAAGGGCCCTTTTTCCCCAAGGCGTCGCATAAAACGAGCGTGCAAACAGTAAAGCAACGCACGTGGTTGCTAGCGGTTAACAAATGTTTAAATCCAGGAATCATTACACTCCTGACCACAAAAGACACACGGTTAAAACATCTCCCGTCTCCCAGCAGCACCAGCTCAAGCGGAACAACTCACATTCCCCCCCTCTTACTCGCCCGCCCGCCCGCAACAAACACGCGCTGAGGACCGCTCCATTTGCTCGCGCTGCAAACTCCAAGAAGCGCCCCCCCGCCGCCGGCTCAAAGCGCGTCATCGTTGGCCGGCGCCGGCACCCCGGCGAGGTCCAAGGCGGCGATGTGCACCTTGCGGTGCCGCGACAGGTGCGACGAGGTGATGAAGGCGCGGCCGCACTCGCCGCACTTGTACGGCCGCTCGCCCGTGTGCGTGCGCCGGTGCTGCGCCAGGTGTGCCGACTGCGTGAACGCCTTGCCGCAGAAGCCGCACTTGTACGGTCGCTCGCCCGTGTGGATGCGCCGGTGCATGTTGAGCTGCGCGCTCTGCGTGAACGTCTTGCCGCAGTCCTGGCAGTGGTACGGCTTGTCGGCCGACGGCTTCCACCATACGCCAACCACCTCGTCGCCGTCGCCGCCGCCCGCCGCCTGGCTCGGGCTGTGCTGCTGCTGCTGCTGCTGATGCTGCTGTTGCTGCTGCTGCGATGAGCCACCGCCCTTCACGGCCATGATGAGTTCCTCCAGCGTTTTGCTCTTGTCCGTTTTGCCGCCGCGGTGAGCGGGTCGCGACTGCTGGCGGCGGCGGCGCGACGAGGCGGCGTTGTCGGCGAAGGAGGTGGCGCGGCGGGGGCCATGGCCGTCTGCGTTCTGCTGCGGCATGGCGAGCCCGGGCTGGGAGCCCCCGCCCCAGTGGTAACCGTCGTCCGACACGCCTTGCTCGTCGTCTTCGCCTGTGCAGAGCGAGGGGAAATCCACAGAATTGTCTCGGGAAGACTCAACGTAACCGTTGGCCAGACGCAGCCTGCGACTTAATTTCACGTGGTCCACAGCCACAAGAGACTTACCACTTGGAAAGACCTAAACGATATTCATCCGTCAATACAAGCATCTCGGTACAAGGTTCCCTGTCCCTGGGCTGGAATCAATCATTGCATTTAGCGTTAACTTGTAACCGAGACAAGACTTTACACCCACTTTCTCTTTTCGCGTCATATAGAGGTAAAATTGCTTGGTTCACCGATGTGGCAGTCACAGCTAAGATTCTGCAATGGGCGAGACCGTACAAATGAGCCGTGACAATACAAATGACAATTAACGTGCGCGTTGTCGTATTTGGCTACTATAAATTTCGACGTGATAAGCCACTTCACTGGACTATCATTTGTGGCCAGGTCGCTTCTGAAAAAGAGCTATACAGCTCAGTGGGCCTTGCCTGGTAAAATAAAAAATTGTAGAAAAAAAACGAGATAAATAAAGCAGCGATTTTTATTTTTCGATTTAAAGCTTTCGTGACTGCAGGGATTCATCTTCTTGGTTCTTTCGGTAAAGTCACGTAGAATGGAAATAATAAAATAATAACAAAACATAATAAAATAATATAATAACGTGACTTTACCGAAAGAACCAAGAAGAAGCGATTTTTTTATCCTTTATATTAAGTTCACTTGCTTGCGCGCTTACGACCGTGCAAATCTTTCGGTCGTTTTTTAACCCACTTCCCGTGATCCAATCGAGCTGACATTTTGCACAGACTCGTTGTGCGTGACAATGTATTTTCGTGAAATTTTTTTTCCAAAATTTTACACTTTTTAGAAAAAAATAAATTATATTTAATTACCAATTGCTTAATGGTGGCAGGCAATCATCTGACCCATAGGTGGCAGCCATCTCAAGCCAGAGGACGAGAGGACTCTAGCCGCCACACATATAAAGGATTTATAGTGAAAAACTTAGTTTTTACGGGTTAATTTTTTCTTCATTCAAGTCATCCAACGGCGGTTGGAGGGGAAGCGAACCCCATTGCTGGCATCTCAAACCCTCCACCGCACAGCCTCCACCCCAAGCCCAGCTCGTCACCTGGGAAGGCTTCGCTCTTGACCCTCCTCGGCAGGAAGCGGTAGCCACTGCCGCCGGCCATGTCGGCGGCATCAGGGTCGTCGTCGGTGGCGGTGGCGACGGCAGCGGCGTCGTCCACCATGGGACTCCCGGCCTCTGCCTCTGCCTCTTCTGCGGGGACAAGGTGCGGGGAAGGGGTGCGATGACGAGTTAAGGATAAAAGAGATGCAAGGTTAAACAGACGGGAAAACTCACTCGGCTAAATAGCATCGATGTACCGAGAGGCTTTACCATTTCTGGCAATAAAACGGAAGGTGCCAAGATGTTTAAACACCTTTTGCAAGACATCAAGTCGGCATTAACACCTGTTTTATTGTCAAAAAGGGTAAAACCGATTAGATTTTTTTTCTCTCTCATCATTTTGATACTGCCAAAAAAGTCCCATAGACATGATCGATGTGACGTGATCACCAAACCCGGGGGGGGGGGGGGGGTATCAGACTTCTCGACCCTACGAGCCACGCGGCAAAATCCTCCTCTGGCCGAGAGCCACGTGACACCACATTATACCCTACACGGCATCACTAAGATTAGATGATAATAAAAATTACGTCGACTTCTAACCTACACAGTATTCGCAACAGAGGCGCGAGGAACCACACGCAAGCAGGAAGGCAGCACCGCTAAGAGACTCGGCACCAACAACTGGCCAAGCTCTGCAGTCCTCCATATGTTAAGATGTTACCGGGCGATTAATGGGCGTTTAAAAATGGGAGGAAACAGGAGCACCCGGAGGAAACAACCACGCGTGCGAGGGGGAACTACTATCCCAGATTATCGCTGTCACCGTCTTCCCCCGGCAAGCCAGGGTATGACTCCTCCTAGACGCCCACGGGTGAGGTGGGGTGGTAACAATGTGAAGAGGTAACAGGGTTAAACGACGCGAGCGGGCCAACGAGCCAGTGTTACCTTTCCACGCGGCCTCAGTCTTGATGCGTCGCCACGACATCCCCGTCGCTTGCTGTCCGGCGGGGTCACGGGCGGCGCGAGCGGCAACGGCACGAGACTCCACCCCCAGTGCTGAGAGTGCGGAGGAAGGGGGAGGGTGAGAAGGCGGGGGGAGGGCACGGTTAAGGACTGTGGCACCAAGCCACGAGACATTATTAATAACACACCATCGCAATGTGGTTCGCCTGCTTGCTGTGTGCTCGTTTGACGATTCAACGACTCGGTGGTAGAATGTGTAGCTAATCGGTGGCGTTCAGGCTCGGTGGTGCAACTTTGGTGGTACAGTTCAGCGCTACAATTCTGATGGCAGAGATGTTGAGTGGTGCGATCCAGTAGCGCAGCAACCTGGTAAAGAAATTGCCTCAATGATTACCATCATGAGTACGGCGGTACGGTTTGTCAGCGCGGTTGGCGGTACGACGCGGCTCAACGACAAAGTTTAGCGGCGCGGCAGTGCGGACCCAGGAGACCCTCACCAGCGGTGGCAGCATCTGTGTTGGGGCTCCCGTCCGTCCACGCGTTCTCCTCGTCCCACTCGGCCCCCGCCATCGCCGTGCCCTCATCTTCATCGTCAGGCAGGTACACCTCGTCACCGTCCACCGGGCCTACGGCGAAGACGTAGCATTCACGTTGTCATTTGTGTTTTCCCATCCCTCCATCCTTGTGCTACTGGTGACATACAAGTACAGTAAAATGTCTCCAAGGGTAAGCCTGAATTCAGGATAGGCCAGAGTGGAGAAGGTGAAAGGGAGGTGGGAGACATGAATGACATTCGGGGTGGAAATAACGAAGAGTACTAAGAATGGCGGAGGCGTCGCATTGAGGACGAAGTTAGGGAGGTGATGGATGTGTAAGAGGAAGTGGCGAAAGTAGGACAGGGGTGGTACCGCTTATAATTCATAATCAACCTTTTTGGGTTTAGATCGCGTTATTTATAAATGTGGCGTAACCCTCCACCACCCGACACGGCCAATCGGTAAAAAAGTGTCACGTTGACAAAAGACAAAATAGTTCACTACTTTAGCCCACCGGTGTGTTGAAGCGTGAAACCACAACATTTACAATTTGAGTACGACGTTTCGCTGGTAATTGCATCCAGCATCATCGGGCAATTCGCCAGAATGGTAAAGCTCTGCTCTGTCTCCCGTTCTTATATAGAGCAGCAGCAGGGTGGCGTCATCATTAACTCATCAGGTGCAACGATTTGACGGGGGGGGGGGGGGGGGGGGGGTATTGAAATTATATACTAGATTAGTAATCAGGCAGTTGTTACAATGCCAGTTGTAGATTAGTAATCAGTTGGAATGTGTTTTATTGTGATTATGCTACGTTAGTAATCAGTTAGTGTTTGTTTCCCCGATAAGGAATTGTAATGTCTCTTATTTAATAATACGCTTCCAGGCCGCACTAAGCCTGTAGCTGTCTGAGCGATTAAAGTTATTTCTGTTTCTCTCAATTTCAATGGATTCTCTAATTAGTCTTTGCCAGTAGTAACTAGTTTTACACAACACTTCCACGTTGTCAAAATCAATAATTGTCCCTGTTCCTTATGATGGTGGAAGTGGACGACAAAGTGGAGTTGGTGAAAAATGGTGGTAAGAGCAGCGGCAGAAGAGAGTTAGTGAAGCAAATCATTGGGTAATGCCATTAACAGATTACATGTCAGTCAAGGAAGAAACAAGTAATCAATCATGTTCGACTTCAAAATCGTAATTTTTCATTTTGTGAAACGATAAATCCATTTGTTTTCTCCTGAACTGGTGTAACGAGCAATGTATGTATGTAGAACTTATTTTGCACCGTACGTAGCCAGCCACCATTCTCCCTCTCGCGGTCTAACGAATCGTCACAATTTGTGCTCGCAGTTCAATTCAAACATCCACCAACATTCTGATAGGTGTAGCACCTCAGGTGGCTGCAAGGGTGATCACATCAACTCCACTATGTGCAACAAATGTGAGGCCAGGTAAACATATGTTTGTGGAATGGCCAGCGAAAGGAGAGTTGAGACAAGGTGGAGGAGGAGAGGTAATGAGGAAGTGAGGTCACAGCAATTTAATTAAAATTTTATTAAATTTTAGTATTTTTATTTTCTATCTGCGTGACTTTACCGAAAGAACCAAGAATATGAATTCCTGCAGTTACGAAAGTTAAGTAAAAAAAAATGTCACAGCAAGTCTGTGTGCTCTCACACAAAAGACAAAGACTCCCATAAAGTCTTAACACAGACTGTTGGGGCAAGTGCTTTTAACGAGCACCTATGCAGGCCTACACAGCACACGAGGGGGTGGGTGGCCAGTACCACACCTAGCCGCCTTTTTCTCCCCAGTGGCGATGTTTGCACATCGCACCAGGTACTCATTTGAGGCAGAGTCGACCTAGGGGAGGACCAGGACCGGTTCGGATAATCGTCACTGGCATTGGCTGTGAGCGGGAATCGAATTCAAGTCGCTTGCTTTTTGTAGCTTGGCGCAACCCGCTTACCGCTACACTGCCGCTTTCTCACACACAACAACCGCCATTCGCCACTAAGTGGCGGTGACGTCACCACGACGCTTGTGCCAGGCCATGTGCACCTTGAGGCCACACACACAGACAGACAGACAGACGCACCATCATCATCGTCGTCATCGTCGTCGTCGTTCAGGAGACCTCCATGGTTCGCCGGATCCAGGAAGGTGAACCTCTTGGCCGATTCAAGCAGCTCCTGGCTCAGGCTGTTGAGCGTCGCCACGATGGCCTCGAGCACCACGGCGATCGCCGACTGCGGCGAGAACTGCCCCTGGCCGCCGACACGACCGCGGCGCGGCCGCTTGCCGGCACCACGCGCCGTCATCACCACGCCGGACACGATGCGGCGCAGCACGGCGTAGTGCGCGAACGGCAGCTTCTCGCGAGCAAAGCGGAACAGCTCGGCCGTCACCTGCGCATCCTCGGCGCACGCCAGAAGCTCCTCGTAGTCGGTGATGCCCAGGTCGCGCTCCATTGCCTCGGCGAACTTGAGCTTCATGCCCTGCGAGGCGAGCCACGCCGGGAAGTCCTCGTGCGGATTCGACATTGCCACTTTGGAAGCCATGGGGCGCGGTGGGTTTAAGTCGAGTCACCTGCGGGAGGGGGGGCGGGGGGGTGGAAACGTGACGTGCTGCGAACCGTTGCGACGCGTGCTCTTCGGCGATCAGACGACACCGGTGACGGAACACAACGCTGCCAACTGTGAAGTGTGGATCAGAAATGTGGACATCGGACAGAGGTGGTGGAATGCAAGCCAGCGGCGACGAGGTAATTCCACCAGCTGCCAAAGGGAGGAGGGAGTGTGGGGTGCGATATTTGCCGATGTCCGTGCTAATTGCGGCACACGCTCATCAGTAATCACGCACCGTAAGACTGCACACAGCCAACTCTGTTCAGACAACCTCAATGATTGACACTGCCTTGGAAGCACTTCAGTAGTGACTCGACAAAAGGGCTGTACGTTATTATTATCATCGTCAACTGTTAGCTATGAATTATAAAGTGGACAGTGACAAAATGGAAAAGCTGAAATAATGCAGCGATTTCCATCACCTGCCAAAGGGAAGAGCTGTCGCATGCTGTGAATGTTGAGGATGGAGCTAACAGCGGCACGTGCTAATCAGTAATCACGTACCGTAACCGTGCGTACTGCCAGCCACACAGTACGGAACAGATACATCGACATAAACATAATGTAGAAGCTGCAATAAGCACACGCATGCTTGGCATTTACACTGCGAGACAAAACGAGGAATGCACGAATCAACCAGGGAACGTCAGAGTGGCTGTTGAGAAGCATTTGCGTTTATTATAAGTGGGCTTGGGCTGGACGTGTTGCAAGAATGGATAATGGCTAATGGACGAGCCCAGTGATGGAATGGCAGCCAGAGAAGAGAAGGCACCCAAAGAGCACGTCCTGCAAATATGATGATGATGCAGCGAGATCAAAGATCAGCAGCTAGATGGACGTTTCGTCGTGTGGCCATGAAGAACGGTAACGGGCTGGAAAGGCCTTAATTCAGCTGTGGATAAATCATGGCTGATGATTTTACATTACGGGGTGAACCTGGTGGGAGTGCTGCCAAAGTGGTTCGTTCACTTCATCTGACGGCTCGGTTCTCGCCAACATTGAAATTAGTCCCCCACCCACCCTCTTCACTCGCCTGCACTGGACCAGTATGGGAAGCCCTTCATCCAGCAGTGGAGTGACAAACGGCCGTAAATAATAAAACAACGCGGAGGCAGTTGCAGTGTTATTCTTTGCTCTTAACGTCTTCAAATGACTGACTGCCTCGTGTATGACCGAGAGTGGCTCAAGTAGGAGCCTCTCGAAAAACGATCAATGCGTGAGACTGGCCCAGCCTCGGCGTGACTGGTCAGTTGCGGCATGAGAGTCGGGGTTCAACAAAGGCTGCGTGGAGGGAGGGAAAGGGATGGAAGCGAGGAGTGGGTTACCTCCTTTTCACGTATTTTTACATCCTGGAGCGGGAACGTTTTTTTGCGACGTTACAATACATCACGTGGATTTGTACGGCGTTTGAAATGTGACTGCGTCTCAAGACGCTGTTACAGAAACGGTGGAGCGTGTGTGTTTTGTCGACCGGAAGCATCCTCAGTAATGGGGGGAGAGGTCTCGGGCGTGGATGTGTTTGAACAGGGGCAGTCGACAGTACGGATTTTTGGTAGGAAATAAGTCCAATAGTTTTTGGGGGCAACAGGAGAACGAACGACCCTCTCCCACTGTGTGAAGGTTGACTAGAAACTTCGACGGGCTTGGTTGTTTGAGCGGAAGGGGGTGCGTGGAGGGGAGAGTTAGAATGAGTTGAGATGAGGGGGGGGTGGGTAGTAGATAAGTGCGGGGAGGGAAGCTGAATGAGATGAGAGGATAGAGAGCGGGTACGAGTGTGTGGAGAGGAGACGAGTGAGACGAGTGCTTGGGGCGGAGTAGTGTTGTAAGGGAGAGGAAAGGAGAGCGCGTGGAGGGGGCGTAGAGTGTCGAGTGAGATGAAATGGGAGTGGTGGGAGAGTGCGTGTGCGCGGGGGCTGTGGAGGAGAGAGGCATGTCACAGGGGGTGACTTTAATGGAGGGATCTTGAAGACGGTGAAAGGTCTCGGCGTGTCCGCTGTTGACGTCAGACCCGTCTGGCCATAGCGAGCACAGCAGCAGCAGCACGCGAGACTTGCGGAACGACGGCGACAAAACGAAACCCCCGGGGGGGGGGCTTACTGCCAACAGAGCGAGCCACGCTGTGCATCCTATTAATCGGCGTGGCTACTCCACTGCTAGACGAATGCATCCCCAAAGACGAATGCATCCCCAAAGACGGAGGCACCCCCATCTATACAGAGTGCGCGATTCGATAATCAGATTGTCCATTTACGAACTGGAGAAATCTGAAGAGCATTGAAGCTCCTTGGGGGGGGGGGGGGGGGGGGGTCCCCCTCTCTCTCAGCAAGGCTCCAATTCTCCTCGACCAACGGCGCAGACGTCCGCGTGCATCGCCAGGCGCCTGAGGGCTAAATCCACAAGGGCCGAGACGACCTCCTTCCCTCCCCACGTCTCTCGCCGTGGCCCACGACTCACGATCAGCGGCCAGCGGCCAAATCGAACCCGGCCCCGTGGCCTCCATCGCCACTTGACCCCTCAACCCCCCCGCGCGCTCTCGCACCCCAACGCCGCGGCAAAGCGAATGGGCGAGCGCTCGACGCACGGGGCCAAACGACCCGCGAAGACCGACGCGAATTGTAACGCTGCACGGGGGAGCTGCGGCAAAGGCGTACGTTCTAAAAACGTGAACAGCGAAAAGCGCCGAGGCCCTCGGCCCCCCCGCCGCGACGCATCCTGACTCGAGCCTAGGCGAGCAGGCCGCATCGCCGCCCTCTGCCGCCCGCCGCGCGAGGCCTCCGCCTCTGCCGCCGTCGTCGCCGCCGCGTCCCCCAGCCACCGCCGTCGCTGCCCTGCTTACGGAGGTGACGTTGTGCAGTGGAAGAGCTCACCAGGGAAGGCGGTGGGGGGCGAGGAGAGACCCTGAGCGGGGCTCGGTGTCGAACTCGGCTCGAGGAGACGCGGGCGGCGGAGGAGGCGCGCGCGCCTTTGTCCTGAGGGGCGGGGCTGGGATGTCACTTACGGGAGCCGAAAAGGGCCATGGCAACGGGGTGGTAGGGGGGGGTGAAAGGGGAAAACGCGATTTTTAATTCGATTTTCCCCTTTTTTAAATCCTTTATATTAAGTTCGCGTGCTTGCTTGCTTAGGACCGTGCAAATCTTTCGGTCGTTTTTTAACCCACTTCCCGTGATCCAATCGAGCTGACATTTTCTACACAGACTCGTTGTGCGAGACAATTAATGTTCGTGAAATTTTTTTCCCAAAATTTTACACTGTTTAGGGAAAATATATATATATTTAATTACCAATTGCTTAATACTGGCAGACAATCATCTGACCCATAGGTGGCAGCCATCTCAAGCCAGAGGACGAGAGGACTCTAGCCGCCACGCATATAAAGGATTTATAGTGAAAAACTTTGTTTTTACGGGTTATACTTATTTTAATCCTAGAAAGCGACCCGGGAGGGTGTTTTGAGTCGACAAATATTGAACGAACGTTGAGTTGCATCGGGCTCATCGGGCAATTGGCTTTCCTCGAACGAATTTGTTTAAGAGAAACAAGCGAGCCTTACTCAAATGTGCCGTATGTTGTTGTTAGCTGCTGCTCTTGATTGGTGCCATTCGAAATGTCTTTAAAATGTCGTGTTTAAATTTGGCCTGATGTAAATCATACTCTTAGGTTTTTTGCGGTAAAGTCACGTAGGTAAAAAATAAAATCAAAATTAATAAAAGTAATAATAGAAATAAAATAAAATAATTATATTATAACTTTTATTAATGTTTATTTAATTGTTTACCTACGTGACTTTACCGAAACAACCTAAGTGTATGAATCCTTGCAGTCACGAAAGCTTCAAATCTAGAACTGATGATGTAAATACAGGCCACGCTTGCAAACGAGACAATGTGTTGTTGTGTGTTCTCAACGGCGCATTACATTTAATCTCCTGTTTTTTTTATAAGCAAAGACATCACAGTGCTTGTCCCACGTGGGTTCTCATCAGCAGGTCAGGGCTCGTGAACCAACGTTGCTGGTCGACAGCCTCAATGTCTTTGTTCAGATTCCTGCTGCATTGGAATGTTACGTGGGCCTCGGCAAGGCAAGGTAATTTACCCTTTTTACCGGCTAAAAGGGTAAAGGTGTCGACATGCCGAGGGGTAAGGTCAAGGGCAGAGTAAAGGTAGCGCGAAGTACTACCCGGTATATACCTTGTTTACCGCTCGCTAAAAGCTCCGTGGCATCCATTTAAAACTGGAATCATCGAGAGTATTCTATATGAATAAAGCGCTCTACCTAGCATTTACCGGTATAAACCTTATTCATGTTTTAGTAGTTGCCTAGTAATTACCCTGTAATCGGGTTATTTGTATGGGGTAAGGGTAAAAGGTAAGATAAAAGGTAGGGTAAAGGTAGGCTCGTTGCTTTTAACCTTACCTTGCCGAGGCCTAATGTTATGGTCGATTCCATGAATGGGTGTTTTTTGGCAGAAACGTGGGTCAATGACTCATATAGAACCATACCGGGTTACGACAACTTGTACATTCGTCTTTAGTTGTATTTAACTCCGGTCGTTCTCGCAGCGGCTTCTGGCTATCGCCATCGAACACCGCGGCCGTCTGGAACGCTCTTCCTTGCGATGTCAAGAATCCGCTGGAGCTGTGCACTTTTAAATCATCGTCTCGATTAACAATCTCATTTTTATCTTTCGCTTGTTGCCCTTCCCCCGCACCTCTGACTGGCACGGTTGGGCTACGTACGGTGCGAACGAAGTTCAGCGCACGCACGGCAAGTGGAACGTGCGCGTGGACCACGGAACAATTGCAATTCAGGGACGTCGTATTTTGGGTGCGAAGAGAGACAGGGCAAAGTGCTTGGGCAGAACTTGTTCGCTGGAAGGGATGGTCGAGACTAAAAACGGAGTAGGAATGCCCAGGTGTACACACTCCGAGGAGATGGAGCAACGAGAGTCGCGCGTATCCAGCTCATACGGATTGTTACGTCATGAGACTGAGGGATAGTGACGGCTTGGGGAAGCCTTCATCCAGCAGTGGATAGATCACGGCTGATAATGGAATCAGTCACTGCTCAAACGAGCGGTAGGGACTGTGGTCATCTGCCCTGGCAGCCCTGAATCACCACCAGCATCATCATCAGCAGCAGCTATCATCATTCTACTGCTGGATGAAGGCCTTCCCAAAAAGTCCCCATCAATCGTGAAAGCCAGTGGTGGAAATTCCACGTTCCCTTGGCAAGAGCCCAGTCACTTGGTAGGAGAGCCACCGATGATTTACCACAATTGATGCTACTCTTTTTGACACCTTTAAACCAATATGAAGTTACAATCAAACAGTAAAGCACAGCGAAAAAATACATAATTGTTCTCCTTTATTGAAACTATGCAAGTTACACAGACGAGGTACAGTACTCAAACACATCCTTCTATGAAGCTATACCCGAGCGATAACACTGCTGATAGAGAGAAAGAGGGATTAACCTAAGGTTGACTGCGAAATTGAGAGGCGGCGGGGGTGGGAGGGGTGGGCTACATAAAACAAACAAACCAGAAACAAATCTTCAATAATTCGCACCCGAGCGAGCAGTGCGGTGAATGTGTATCACGGTGATCGGCGAGATCATAAATGTGTCACATGGCTCGTCAGCAGCTTTGTCCCATTCGTCCAAACTCCAGGGTCGGGGTGCCACTTGAAGCAGAGCCAAACAGCATGCCCCTTGTCATGGCTTCACCTTAACGAGAACCACCGTCCTTTATTTAATTCACGATACGTTTCACCTCGATAACCCCTTCTGATTGGAACATCTCATACGCAAGGGTGTCCAGGGTTATCAATTGACACAATCTCTTGCACGGTCCCGACACAATTCCTGGACAAGACCCTTACCAAGCCCTTCCCTGCTGATCTTCAGGACGCCGTGATTTAATCGAGACTCGGGGAGACCAGTATCACAATCGGAGTCTTGATTGAGCGTTGGAGAAAATCGGGGATTTTTTGGGAGGATCCGAGTTTTGAGATTTGAACCTTATGGCGGTACCATAGTACCCCGGCTCTCGCATAATGTCTGTGATGCAGTCACTTTTAGTCTGTTGATGGTCGGCGATGCGGCAATCGACTCATCTCGACGAGCTGTACACGATGCACCACTAAGGTGCGTACGAGCGTTCAGGGTTTCGGCGCAATCGTTCTCGCTGCGTTTCGACATCGTGGAGTGGCACCACCGATTTCGGATTGATTGGTACCCCAGTCGCGGAGTGAAGTCCACCCCTGGAAAAAATAGTGTCCCAGAAAGAAAATATTTAATTGCCTCGGCCGTTTTGTATTATTTGATACCCCGGGATACCGCCGTAAGGATCATTGACTCTGCAAGACTGGGCGTCAGTTTGGAGTCTTGATGAATAGTAAGAGAAAGATGATCGCAGGATCAGGCTTGATGTCAATCTTCTTCTTTCGTATGCCATGGGGGGGGGGAGAGGGATAAGTACGGTACTTTTTTTTTATTGGTGTCACGTTGAGCTGTTTTTATTTTACTTAGGTAAGGCCCACTGAGATATCCATCTCTTTTTCAAATATGACTATCTTAAATGATAGCTTATCATCATGTGGACATTTATAGTAGCCAAATACTCTCAACGCGTGATGTTGATTCTAAATGTGAAGGTAAAAACGGAGGACCCGGAGAAAAATCCTCACAACTACGGGGAGAGAGAGAGACAAACTCCAAATATACAGCAGCCGTCGGTTTCGAGATCGAACCCATAACCTCCTGTATACCAGGCGAGGTAGTTAACATCTCCTAGCCACCGTAATGCTTCCGAGTTGAATTTTTATTTTACTTTTTATTAATTTTTATTAAAAAAAATATTTTTTTCCTACGTGACTTCACCGAAAAAACCTAAGAGTATGAATCCTTGCAGTCACGAAAGCTTCAAATCTAGAATTGAATTTTAAGGTAATTCAACCAATCCAAGGCGGCAGTGGACGCGGGATGGATTGCAGCGAAACTGCCAGGGTGTGTGTGGATGGCATTGATGAACAATTTAACGCGTAGGCTTTCGCGACCAATATTATTCATAATAAACGTTTTTGGGTTAGATCGCGTTATTTATGTGTCGTAACCCTCCACCACCCGACACGGCCAATCAGCAAAAAAAGTGTCACGTTGACAAAAGACAAATAATTCACTACTTTAGCCTACCAGCGAAACGTCGTAATCAAATGATTGTAAATGTTGTGGTTTCACTCTTCAACACACCGGTGGGCTAAAGTAGTGACCTATTTGTCTTTTGTCCACGTGACACCTTTTTTTTGCTGATTGGCCGTGTCGGGTGGTGGAGGGTTATGACACATTTATAAATAACGTGATCGAACCCAAAAACGTTGATTATGATTGATGAACAATGTCACAGGGCTTACGATAGTGAGCCAGTGTTTGCATCTCCAACGAAATGGCTTACAGCCCCTCTACGTGTATAGCCCTGGCAGAGAGACTAACTGCAGCTCACGAGGTTGAACAAGGGGCTTTTGGTAGGCGTGTGACAATTCGACTGTGAAAATAGACTCCTATATTCGTGTGATGACCTGCACAGAATTGCGTGCGTATGCGAGAATTCATTATTCAGAATAATGAAAATGTTATGCATTTTTTTTCATACTTGCTAACAGTGAAATCGAGAGCACAAATGTGATTTTTTTTTAAACACAATGTGGGGCAGGATGAACAAGACTGACAGAGCAAATAATTCGGACAGTACACACGAGACGGACATTACGCTTGAGACGCAGTACCAACAAGACTGCCAGTACAAACGAGATGGGCGGTATGAACAAGACTGCCAGGAACAAATCAGGCAGACGGCACACACCAATACCGGCAGTGCAAGTGAGAAAGAGTACGAGGCAGACGGTGGTACAAACGAGGCGTACAGGACAAAGATGGCAGTACCAACGACAGTACAAAGGAGACAGCATTCGATTCTTGAACAAAAGTGACAATCGACATTTTTCACATGGCTCACTCTCGTTTCTTTAAGTCCGACCCCGGCAATAACGAACCAGCACCCCCCCACTTCACGAGTCGATGGAACGGTAACAATCCAACGTCGCGATACAACAACAAATAGTTGTCCCTGCGATTTAAAATAAACTCCTGAAAGAAAGTATTTTTTAAACAACGGTTTTATTAACAACTTCGTTTAACTCACGGTCGAGAAGTACGTCAATGGCGCCTGAGACACGCGGCGCCTGTGTTTTTGTGCGAGCCGATTCCACAGTTTATAGACCGCGGCGTTTTTGACCTACACAAAAATATATAATTAATAAGCCTTCTTGGTTCTTTCGGCAAAGTCACTTAGAAGGGAAATAATAAAATAATAAAACATAATAAAATACAATTCTCACGTTTCGGCCACAACGCAAGCAGCCGTCCTCAGGTGAAGAAAAGGTCTGTCGGAAAGACAGCGTCTGAATGTCTTTCCGACAAACCTGTTCGTCATCTGAGGACGGCTGCTTGCGTTGTGGCCGAAACGTCGTGAGAATTGTATTTTATTGTTTTATTTTTATTATTTTATTATTTCCCTTCTAAGTGACTTTACCGAAAGAACCAAGAAGATGAATCCCTGCAGTCACGAAAGCTTTAAATCGAAATTTAATTAATAAGCCGTTCATACAAAAAATGTAATTGCTTCAAAGGAGGCAATTAATTGATGATTTGATGCCGATTTTGATACAGGCATGCATTGTCACCAGATCTGAGTACGTGTGCAAAATTTGGAATCGATTGGACAACAGGAAGTCGAATAACTTTTGATGACAAAGATTTGACCACGACAAACACAAGTGAAGTTAAATAAAACCGTTGAAAAAATTAATCTCGTTTTGTCCTGCCTCGCTCGTTCCATGAACCTGAAGGAGACTTACTGTTTGCATGCACGTTGAATAAATCATAAATAAGCAATCCTCGCGTGCACCGCACGTACTGAGAAGAGGCGCACAATCTGTAGTGCACCATGAACTCACCCTCCTGTCCCATCTCGCTATGAAACTAGAGATCTGGGAAGCTCAACGGGGACACGTGGCGCGCGTTGGCACTCACCTCCCTCAGCCCTGCCCCACTTTGACGAGCCCTTGCCCACACAGCGAGTGGCTGTTATCACTGCTCGCCCTGCCTACTCCTCTGCCAACCCCACCCACGACTCAGCTAGCACCGACTATTTCCCTGTACCATTCGTTGAGCGTGAGGCCAGAAAAACGTATGGCAAAACCTCCAACGGTAAAAAATTCTTCCAACACCGGGATAGACTTTCTGAAAGCAGGTCGTTTGATGACTTTAATCTCACTTGAATAGTGCACGACACGTAACTCACTCGCACACACAAACATGGCTCAACCCGCGACAAACACCCACAGCTCCAGCATCCAACCCCAGCTGTCATCACTGCTCGTAGCCGTGACCTGGGCTGCCGTGACTGCCGTGGCTGGATGGTCCCATTGCCATCATCGGCAGCGTCGCGTGCGGCGCCCTTGCATGGTGGCCGCCGCCGCCGCCGCCGCTCCCCGTGTGTCTCTTCTTGTGGTGCGCCAGGTTGGACGTGGCCGCGAAGCGTCGGCCGCACACGCGACAGCGGTAGGGCTTCTCACCGGTGTGCGTGCGCGCGTGCAGCTTCAGGTAGGAGCTGAGCGCGAACACCTTCCCGCACTGCTCGCAGCGGTACGGCTTCTCGCCCGTGTGCGTCCGCGCGTGCCGGGCGTATGCCCGCGCCCGCGTGAACACCTTCCCGCACACGGCGCAAGCGCAGGGGCTCTCGTCCGGGCGGGTGCGCCGTCCGACGCTACCCGCAACGCCGCCGCCGCCGCGATCCGTTGGATCCAAAGACAGCGTGGTGGCGGTGGCGGTGGCGGTGATGTAGGCCGATCGCTGGGCACAGCTGGGCTGACCATCGTACGGCGCGGCGGAATGGTGCGGGTGCGGAACGTTCCTGTGCCGCAGCCAGCTAGTGCCGCGTTGTTGCTGGGGGGCCGCTGAGGAGACGGTAGGGAGCTGAGCAGAGGCTGGGTGGCAGGGGGGGCCGCGCAGGTGAGGGGTGTTGGGGTCCCGGGGGCACTCTTCAAGCCGGACGGCTGACGGTAGAAGGGGACACGCATTAAGACTCAGGCAGATTTCACACGTAAGGCAAAGTGCAAGACGAGGAGCGAGGCTGTCTGCTCGGTGAAGTCATCGATCGGTTCACCGCTCTACAAGGCATCGGTATGACGTGTAGCTTCTTACATATTTTGTGTTAAGTGCTGTGGCCAGAAATACACCCGTCTGCTTTGCCTCCCTGCTTTTTAGGTAATTTGATGTTTACACACCTGCACCAGGTACTCATTTAATGCCGAGTCAACCTGGTGGAGAATCTAGGACTGGTTCTGATACCACTTAACACGAATTGCTGTTGACAGTGGCCGGGATTCAAACTCTGGTCGCCAGGGTTGTATCGGAGTGCTCTAACCACAACACCACGACTCCCCACACACATGTGCAAAGACAAAAATCCCCCGTATAGCCTTAACAAACTCTTGGGGCAAGTGCGGTTAGCGAGCACCTATAAAGCCGGCACGGTACACGAGGGGGTGGGTGGTCGGCACCACGCCCGGCCACCTTTGTCTCCCCAGTGGCAATGTTTACACACCGCACCAGGTACTAATTTAAGGTTGAGTTGACTTAGGGGAGGCACAGGACCGGTTCAGATAATCGTCACCGGTGTTGACCATGAAGAAGAATCGAACTTAGGTCTCTGGGTTCGTTGCGCAGCGCGCTAACCGCTACACTACCCGCTACACTACCGCTCCCCACACACACGGGCACACACGTAAATGTACACACACGTATGGGCACACACGCATACGGACAAATTAGAACCTCCACATACCACTTGGGTCATACTTCACTGGAACTGTCGGTGTGGGTTGGTGAAAGCAGGGAGTGCAGACGGAGTGTAGTACAATACCACAGTGCACTGTCTTTATGCTGATACCGTGGCCCCACAGCTTGTCCAAGCACTATGCAGGCCCAAACCTGCTTAACTTCTGAGATCTGATGAGATCGGATGAATTTCGGGAATTTTGTTAATATGCAACCTTACGCAAGTTTTTTGTTATTTAACCAGGTAGGGCTCACGGGGTCTTAAGACTTTTTGATGAGGGTCCTATGTTTGGTGCGTTTGCGTGTGGGAAGAAACTGAAGCACCTGAAGAAAACCCACACATAGGAGGAGATAACACAAAATATCTGCACTGATAGGGTCAGCATCCTACTTGCTGTACGGCATGGCCAGCTACTTGGCCACCTTGTAAGCCCAGTGGGTATGGAATCTCACACACGTAATGATCTTTGTGCAGTCCGCCAACGAGGCTTCTGAATCAACGGATCGCAGACATGCACCAGCCACCAACACTGTCGCCAACAACTGCCAACATAATGATGACGTATCTTTAAGAAAGTACCGTGCATTTTTATTATTTTTTTTAAATCAATACCACCAAAGGGGGCCAGAGGCGCGTGAGATTCGACCGTTTACACGCGGAAACTTTTACGCCTTGAAACTAAAGTTGCAGGAGACGTTATTTCTCGGGTGTGACACAGTGAATAGGCCGCAGGAGAGAGAAACACGTGGCACTGCAAAGGTGAATATTTAGAGACGGACACTTATGGACACCCCAATGAATTGAGTTGCTCAGTGTTTGTAGATGTCACTATCATTAAGCAAGAGGGCCCTCTGCCTCTGGTGATCACAGTCTGCTCTCGAAGATGCGAGGTAATGGGAGGGGGCTTCGGAGTAGCCTGCACGAAAAGCAAAACACGGAAGCGCTTGTTTAAATTAGACGATACACGAACGCATGTAACCCAAGGAGGAATGGGGGGGGAGGGTGACGATATCTAATTTAATATTTAACTTTTTATTTCCTTGAAAGTGCTCGGTTTAACTTGTCGACTTTGTTTACGGTCACGTGGGCACCGAATCCTGGACCCCGGCCGAGTGAGGAGCAGCTAATTTTTAAATCCTTCATATTAAGTTCACTTGCTTGCTTGCTTGCGCGCTTACGGCCGTGCAAATCTTTCGGTCGTTTTTTAACCCACTTCCCGTGATCCAATCGAGCTGAAATTTTGCACACAGACTCGTTGTGCGTGACAATTTATTTTCGTGAAAATTTTTTTTCCAAAATGTTCCACTTTTTAGTAATTTTTTTTTCATTTATAATTTAAAATACCAATGTGATAAAAATGAAACTCTTACTCAAGAAAAACAGAAATGAATAATAAAATAAAACCGATGCCACGCATATAAAGGATTTATAGTGAAAAACTTTGTTTTTACGGGTTAATTTTTTAACCACCGGGACGTACTGTCGGGTTGTACCGCGAGCTGTTCAGGCGCAACGTCCCGCCGAACACAAGACCTACGGCGGTAAATGTTCAAACCGGCGTGCATAAAAAATTCTTACAATTTATTTCATAATCACGGTTAATGCGCAACTCCGATCATCACCTGCCCATGGACAAGCGGGCTGTTAAACTGTGCGATTACGAGGAATGTAACAATTCGCTGCCCTCCAGCGACCCGATTGTCACGATTCGGCATCATGATTACATCCGAGAATTAATGATTACGCTCGTCTCATTTGAGTTGCCTGTCTCGTAAAATATTTACTTTCACTTTTTCCGCGAGCATCGGCAATACAATTTGTACGCAATGCGCGCACATGACAAACAATGGACTCGGGTGAACAATTCAATGCACGCATCGGGAAAATAAGAATCGATTTGAATCGATGGGTTGTGACATACTCTTTGGTTCTTTCGGTAAAGTCACGGAGGTGAAAAATAAATAAATAAATATAAATGAAAATAACTAAATTAAACCACGACGTTTCGGGCGCAACACAATTGTCCGTCATCAGGTGGAGACAACCAACAGCGAAAATAGCGTGACTTTACCAAAAGAACCAAAGAGTATAGATCCTTGCAGTCACGAAAACTTCAAATCTGGGTCGTGACATGCCTAATGATTACACAGCTTTACACAACCAGTGTTGCGAACATATGAATGTCAGTCGGATGAGTTTACTGATAAAGTCAACAATACAACTGCATGCATTTTTTCTATTTCCATCAGCAAAAGTGGCCCGGAAACTGGTCCCCTGGACCGTGAGCTGCGTGCAAGTGTGAGATAGTATTTTGACCCACACAGGTTTCTGACCCCGGGGGTCAGAACAATAAATAGTATTTGAACCCTCCACTGTGATAGTTCAACTCAGTGGGGCGGCAACACGGCCTAGGAGTTTTTAATTTGTCGCAGACGTTCATGGTTTGAGATCCAGCGGCCCCTCTGGTTATCACCGCGGTTGTGTATTGACCCTAAACTTCACAGCAGACAACATTAAAGAACCCGCGACGTCATTCGCAAGAGGCCGCCGCCGTGTGTCGGCGTCATGGGACACATTTTAAAAGTTACCGCCAAACTTACTCCATTGGGATGATTACCAAACAGCAGCATTCACCAGCCCCCCTTACTGCGAAAACTTGGCAGGACGCTCCTGAAAACGAGTCATGACACTCAGCGAGGCTTTGCCGGGTAAGCAAGCGGAATAAACTACACGGCCAGCCAGTTTGGGTCATTCACCCATGTAATACTGTAGGGGAACAACTGGCCTATAGACAAAGCCAATTTGTAGGTTGCAACAAAAACCTTCGGGCGGACACGACCCTCAATTGGATTCTTACCCTGGGGTCCAAATTCTAGGCGTCAAAATACTATCTCATGCCGCAAGCGCAACAGCATTTCCTCGTCGGGGAGGAACCGTGGCACAATTATCACAAGCAAGGGCCCTTTCAGTGACCGGGCACGTGCTACGATGCGGGATCAGCACGACTGCACGCGTGGGCATTTTGCAAACAAAACAATCGAAATGTACAGGCTAACCGCGTGGACACCACTGATACCGCTTGCATAAAACACCTCAAAGGAAGACACCAGATGAAAATGGATCGCTCTTTATCGTCTCGATCAGGGGTGGGGGAAGCGAATACCTGTAAGCTGACATTATTTTACGAGGCCCGTGACCACACGAGGCCTGGAACTTTGAAACGGCCTACAAACGATACTAATCCGTCGCTGCGAGCATCTTCGCTGCGCTTATCGTGAACGAAAATCGGAGTGCATTCGAGGTGAGCAACACTGTCCGTCAAGTCACCTGTTTGTGTTTCAAATACTGTAGTTCCAAGCACGAAGATTCATTCCAACTAAACTTGACACGGGCTAGGACTGAATAAGGTTTAGTGTCAACAAACATGCGGTTGGCCGCCACTGGAAATTAACATATTCTGTCCTCAGTAAGAAACAGTTTCCCCCACCAATTTTGTAGATGTATAAATGTCAACAGCAGCCTGAAGCTATTAATTACAAAGTAATTTACATTCACGGCCAGATGCGCGACTAAATCAAGGCATGCTCTTTTCAATTTACCGCAGTGTGCCTGCCCTGCATTTCACTTGCATCTACGACGGGATGTATGGTGCATTGTGGAAGCGTGCACTACAGTGACGTCACAACACGTGGTGCATTGTGGGAGCCAGACACATTAAGTAAAATGGAGACCGATAGCATTTGTTGTGGAATTTAAAATGAGAAGTGGGGGAGGGGGGGTGCTTGTTCTGGGCAAAAATTATTGATGTTATATTCAGCTGCCTCAATGCTGCCAGCCAATGTTATTTGAGTAATGAGGTCAATTAGTCGTGATGACCGTCCCCGCAGATTTGTAATAAGAAAAGCAATCCTTATGTACGTACGTATGTTGAACTTCTTTCGCACCGTACGTAGCCAACCGTGCAAATCGGAGGTGCAAGGGAAGGACAACAAACTTAACACAAAAATCCATTCTAAAAGTTCTATGAACTTACTTACTGCCACCAACCCCGAACCCTTACTCTTAAATCTTAACCCCTACCTCGATTAGTTGTTTTTTGTCATTCCGCTCCTTTACCCAGGAAAAGCCTCACCGAGTCTCAAGACTTTTTCAGGAGGGTCCTGCCAAGTTTTCGCACTTGGGGGGGGGGGGGGGGGGCGATGTTGCTGCTGTGTGTAATCTCAATTGAGTCATTCTTAGGTCATATTTTGAGTGTTGAGATGTTTAGCCAATGTCGGTTACAATGTGTGTGTATAGGGGAGCGATAGTGTAGCGGTTAGCGCGCTGCGCTATGAAGCCGGCGACACGGGTTCGATTCCCGCTCACGGCCAACACCAGTGACGATTATCTGAACCGGTCCCGGCCCTCCCCTAGGTCGACTCAGCCTCAAATGAGTACCTGGTGCGGTGTGTAAACATCACCACTAGGGAGACAAGGCGGTCGGGCGTGGTGCTGGCCACCCACCCCCTCGTGTGCCGTGCTGGCCTTCATAGGTGCTCGCTAACAGCACTTGCCCCAACAGTCTGTTCCAGGCTATATGGGGGTCTTTGTCTTGTATATATATAAATATATTTGTAGCTGTGGGGGGAAACCGGAGAACACGACTCAGGGAACAGAACCCAGGCCCTTCTTGCCGTGTGCCACGAGTGTTACCCCTGTGCGCACCCTGCCGTCAAACTCGGAAACCTTAACCCAGTGTTCTTCACTCATTTTCAGAGGGGGGGGGGGGGCACCTTCGCCGATAAGACATCAGTGTGAGGGCCACCACACATTTTAAATCAATGGGTTTGACAGCATGATGGGGTCTTTTTAGTGCGCCGCACGTCAGGGGCCGCACTAAAGGCCATCAGGGATTACGATTGGCCCGCGAGCCTTGCAATGAAGAACACTCCCTTAACCTTCGATTTAAAGCTTTCGTGACTGCAGGGATTCATCTTCTTGGTTCTTTCGGTAAAGTCACGTAGAAGGGAAATAATAAAATAATAAAAATAAAACATAATAAAATAATTCTCACGACGTTTCGGCCACAATGCAAACAGCTGTCCTCAGGTGAAGAACAGGTCTGTCAGAAAGACAGGTCTGTTGGAAAGACAGACCTGTTCTTCACCTGAGGACGGCTGCTTGCGTTGTAGCCGAAACGTCGCGAGAATTATTTTATTATTTTTATTTTTATTATTTCCCTTCTACGTGAAATTACCGAAAGAACCAAGAAGATGACTCCCTTAACCCCTAACCCTGACTCAAAGACCCCGACCCTAAGACCCTAACCCTAAGCCCTTACCCTCGACCCTACACGAAAATAAAGAGGCGGGATCCCTAAATATTTCATCAGCTGGGAGCTGAAGAATCCGGAATTTGAAAAGGCCACAAACGGGAAAGCGCTAATCAGAGATCTGCGAATGGACAAACATCTTCTCTATGATTGGATAAAACAAAAACAATCTCTGGGGACAGCAGTGCCGGAGGCTGCCATTCTTTTCCCTCATCTGCGGAGAGACGGCCATCACTCCCAAATAAAAATCGTGACAATTTGCAGTTTAAGTCTCTACTTCCTTTTAGTGCGGAATTTCTCCCCTTGATTTTCATTTAAAGCTGCTCCAACGTTTTGGGGGATGTAGTCGCTCGAGGCGTTTCAATGCCTCCGGTCGATGTATGGCACGAGACCATAATGAAACAACCACTGAATGCCAGAGGTCGCAAACGGGTACCCGATACCCGTACCCTACCCGATACCCGGCTACCTGTACCCAGCCGGGAACGGGTACGGGTACCCGTTTGCGACCCTGGTGCGGCCGGGTACGGGTAGACCGTGAGTCACTGGTGAGTAACCGTTTGTCACTTATTTCCCAACGTCTTGTCTCTTCTCACAATTCAAGTTCCTAGAATCAACCCACCCGCGCCTGCAACATGGCTTCATCCCAGAGGTCGCAATCGGGTACCCGTACCCTACCCGTACCCGGCCGGGTACGGGTAGCCGGGTATCGGTTAGGGTACGGGTACGGGTACCCGTTTGCGACCCTGGTGCGGCCGGGTACGGGTAAGGAATCAAAACCCGTTTGCGACCTCTGCTGAACGCCCCGGTCTGCCAGTATCTAAAGTTCAAAAGGCAAGATTCACGCAAAAACACAGAGCGAAAAATGCAACGGGTTTGTTGTGAAGTGTTAAAATGTACGGCACTTTTATACTATCGGGTAAACGCGATATATCAGGTTTAAGAATGCATTGTGGGTATACCTTAAGTGATCATAAACTGAACTTCAGTGCTAGAGTTTACAAAATGGACATTCCATTGCTATGCAAAGCACAACTACTGCAAGTTGTAAAAACACTCCAAAAAGATAATTATTAATGATTACTCTGCAATCTTCCAACCTGTGCAATAAAAACCAACCAAAACCAGTCAAGCGATTGCAATTGTTATTATAATTATATTTAACGGCCTCTTTGGAGGCCTAATCATTATTGCCAAAACGTAGGTGGCCAAACAAGCCGCCAGTGTTGACAGTTCTTGAATTTGTGGTTTATTTCCAGCCAAAATTTTAATTTCCAAAATCACACACGCACACAGCACAGCACCACGGTGGGGAGCATTATCTAAAAGGAAGGCACAACTCAAAAAAATATCAATTCATTCTCAATTACTTAGTCTAACAGACTTGTACATTACAGCCATTTGTCAATCCACTTGTGGATGAAGCCCCCTGCCCCACGCCATATCAGACTATGGGATTTGTCAGATCATACTTCACCACGCAGGTCCGTACGGGTTGGTGAACCGTCGGGGGCGGTACGCGTGGGGGAAGTGCGCAGGACCGGTTAAGATATCTCTCGTCATTCTCTCTACAACCCCCCTCTCCTCTCTCCCCCCCTACTTCCCTTAAGCATTATATGTTCCTGATCGTTGCCCCCTATGAGAATAGCAGAGCAGTGAGCCCAGTCACCTCTTGCCGGTCACTATTCCGAGGGCACCTCGCCACGGGCTTGATCGAGTTCTCTCTCCACCGTCGTGCGTGTTCTGTATTGGACTCTTTTTACATAAAAAAAATATTCAAAATAAATCACTCGCCGCTGATGTTGGCCATGGCCAGGAGTTGAATTCGGATCACCACGCGCGTAGCGCTGCATGGCTCTGTTTAAGTACCGCAACGTATGATCTGTAGAAATTTCAAACCGTGCTCATTCCTGCATGCAACGTTGTCTTCTGTACATCGCCCACTGCGGCACTGCGCCAAGACACCCGACGTAGAGATCAAAAGTTCATGACTTCGCCCACATTCTGTCCAGCAGTGATTGTTGCTATAGTGTAACCCACCCCCCGCTATGGGAATGAGGAATGTCCACCACTGGCTCAGAGTAGGAAGACGTTGTTGGAAGTCAAGCGTGATTGTTGGTTTAAAAACCGGTCCCCGACATAGGAATGGGGAATTTCCACCACAGGCTTACAGATCACCAAGAATGATGATCACCATCAAAATCATGAGAGCCATTTTTTTCGAATTCGGTATCAATATTTAAAGAGCCGCAATGCACGTGAAGACGACGAAACGGTAGTCCTTAATAAATAAATGTCACAAAGCAACGGTCCTTAAACAGCCGCATGCGGCACCGGAGCTGTAGGTTGCCGACCCTTGGCATATTGGGACACAGACTTGTATTGGCGATAGAAATTACTTGTACATCCTTGTACGGGACTGCCAGGCAGGTGGAACTGCGGTGGTATGAAGCGAGAGTGCGTTAGGCACTCATGAGTACTCATCGTACAGTGAACCGAGCGTTGTCCGAGTCGGCCAGGTGGCGAACCTACACCTGTGCCTTCGGAGATTCTCTCTCCGATGGTATTGTGAGGCTGAGCTGGCGGTGACCTTTCAACCTTGTGACTCCACTTATTAAACGTGTCTTCTTGGTTCTTTCGGTAAAGTCACGTAGAAGGGAAATAATAAAAATAAAACATAATAAAATCATTCTCACGACGTTTCGGCCACAACGCAAGCAGCCGTCCTCAGGTGAAGAACAGGTCTGTCTGAAGACAGCGTCTGTTCATTCAGACGCTGTCTTTCCGACAGACCTGTTCTTCACCTGAGGACGGCTGCTTGCGTTGTGGCCGAAACGTCGTGAGAATTTTATTATTATTTTATTATTTCCCTTCTACATGAATTTACCGAAAGAACCAAGAAGATGAATTCCTGCAGTCACGAAAGCTTTAATTCGAAATTTATTAAACGTGCTTGTCACTCATTTCAGCAACGAAGCTTCCAAGCAGTGGTAAGGAACCTTGTCCTTGAGGGCGAGACAGAGACTTTTAAATACCTTGGCAAAGGCAAAGATCTCCCGTATAGCCTCAACAGACTTTTGTAACAAGTGCTGTTAGGGATCACCTATGAAGCCTGACAGGTACACCAGGGGGTGGGTGGCCACCACCACGCCCGACCGCCTTTGTTTCCCCAGTGGTGATGTTTAGACACTGCACCGGGTACTCATTTGAGCCCGAGTTAATCTGGGGGAGGCCTGGGACTGGTTCAGATAATCTTCCCTGGTGTTGGCCGTGACCAGGAATTGAACTATATCCTTAGGTTTTTTCGGTAAAGTCACGTAGGTAAAAACATTAAAAAGTAAAATAAAATAAAAATCACGACGTTTCGGAGGCAACACAAGCTTCCGTCTTCAGGTGGTACCGTCACAGGCACGACAGCTGTATCAAGTAAATGAGAGATTTCAGGAGTTACCACTGCGTTTATATAATGGTTGGAGAAGGTGGTGGGGCATGGGCCGCATCTTTATTATTAATATGGTAAGGTGAGGCTTGAGACTAAGAATAGACTGCATAACAAAGGCAGTGGTAACTCCTGATACAGCTGTCGTGGCTGTGACGGTACCACCTGAAGACGGAAGCTTGTGTTGCGCCTCCGAAACGTCGTGATTTTCATTTTATTTTACTTTTTAATGTTTTTACCTACGTGACTTTACCGACAAAACCTAAGGATATGAATCATTGCAGTCACGAAAGCTTCAAATCTAGAAGGAATTGAACTCCGGTCACTGGGTTCATAGCCCAGCACGCTGACCGCTGCACCACCACTCCCCACCTTTTCCTGAATGAGGGCCAAATGGGGACTTTGAAATACCTTTGGCAAGATACGTGTTAACGCGCACACACACCTCAGTGACCGTCTGTCGCTGCAAGAGGCCCTCGTGGTGACGGAAGTGACCGAGTGCGCGAACACGAGAAACACAATATCACCACGGTCAAGATAATCACCCTCTGCAAACTGATTAGTGTGGCCAAGATGCTGGCAGTGGAAATTTAATGTGGGCGCTGCGGTGGCGAGATGTTAACTGTCTCGCCAGGTATACAGGAGGTTATGGGTTCGATCCCGAACCTGATGCCTGTATAATATTTGGAGTTTTCATGATCTCCCCGTGGTCGCGTAGATTTTTCCCTGGGTCCTCTGGTGTTTCCCTCCACACTTAGCAATATGCATTTAAAAATATTTGGCCACACGTAAATTTCCACGTGATAAGCCACTTTGTTGAGTTATCATTTGTGGCCAGGTCGCTTCTGAAAAAGAGCCACACAGCTCAGTGGGCGATACCTGGTAAAATACAAAAGTTTAGTTTAGAACTATGGGAACCTCATTTGCCAGTAAAAATATGATAATTGGTTTTTTACCCTTCTATCTGGCAACAAAACTGACACCTTTTTACAAGGAGTCATGTTTGCATAGACCGCAATACCTACCTTTTGGCATCATCTGGTCCAACCCATGTGAGACTAGGCTCTAAGGAAAGCTGTCTCGGGTGTGGACCAATCAACTTCAAGGACAGTGCACATTATCAGAGTTATGTTCTTTTGTTTGTATTATGACTGCAGGTATTGCGGTCTATGCAAACATGACTCCTTGTAAAAAGGTGTCAGTTTTGTTGCCAGATAGAAGGGTAAAAAACCAATTATTTAGTTCAGAAATTTGTTTGTGGGCTGATTTTAAGGAGTAGCTCTCATTTGGCCACAGGACATATAAAGCAAAGTCAAAGGCCGTGGCTTCCTCACCCCAGGCCAAAAGTGTTATCGATGTCACACTGGAAGGGACTCTTGCTGTGATCGGGGCTTACGTGTGAAATTTACGGGGAGGAAACTCTTCTCAGCAAAGGCAATGCCAAACACAGTTCACAACTCTGGCAATTGCCTGATGATGGGAAACGTCGTACCCAATCGTTAACCGGGTGTGGATTGATCTCCAACATCACCAGGTGGTGCTGCTGAAGCAGTAATAATTTGGCACGTTTGTTGGTTGCGTTGGGCGGAGGAGGGTGTATGATACACATTTAACTGCTGTGATCCGACCCAAAAAAATCAATTAGGAATCATATCGGTCGAGAACGCCCGCACGTGTTAAACTATAGGGGTGAATTAGCCGAGTGCGTTAATGCGTCACCAAACCGGAGGTATTTTAAAGTCCCATTCGTCCCACCGTTAGAAAAAAAACGCTTCCACAGTCCTACTTTAACGAACAGGTTCCTTCAAACCAAATCGGCCGACTGTGACAAACGCAGCCTCCGCCGCCTTACCGCACCGCCACCACAGTCCCCGCACCGCCACCACAGTCCCCGCCGCGTGTCCACATCGAGCCCTCCGGCGGCAGTGCCGTGTGCGCGGCCGCTCGCTTCACTGGTGCGTCGGAGGCGGAGGCTGCTGCTGCGGCGGCGGCAACCGGTGACGCTCCCCGTGGGTGTTGCGGTGGCACGAGAGCGTGAAGCGGCGCGCGAATGCCTTGCCGCACACCTCGCATGAGTAGGGCTTCTCGCCCGTGTGGATACGCTTGTGCTGCGAGTAGGCGAAGGGGTGCGCAAACGAGCGCCCGCAGAACTCGCAGCGGTACGGCCGCTCGCCCGTGTGCGTGCGCATGTGCAGCCGCAGGTTGCGAGCGCGCCCGAAGCCCTTGCCGCACAGTGTGCACACCAGGCTCGGCTCCCCGGCGACGCCCGAGCCGACCGCGTCCCGGCAAGCCGTCGTCCCGCCGATCCCCCCATCTACAACCGCCGCTGCCGCCGCCCTCTGCATCTGTCCACCGCAGGCCGCGTCCATTGCTGCCCCCGCTGCGTCGTAGCTCAGCCGGTAAGTGCCAGTGGCCGAGTCAAAACTCTTTAGCAAAGCCGGGCTTCTGGCGTCCGCTTGCTGTTGCTGGTTGTGCTGTTGCCGCCGCCGCCGTTGTGGCTGTTGCTGCTGCTGTTGCTGCTGATTATGTTGTTGTTGCTGATGATGTTGTTGTTGCTGATGATGTTGTTGTTGTTGCTGCTGCTGATGCTGTTGCTGCTGATGATGTTGGTCTTCGTGCGGGATTAGGCGGTGCGGGAAATAGTGGCGCGAGCGGCTGCTAAGGCCTCCATTAGAAGCGTCCGCGATCAAAGCTCCTTCGAACGACTGACAGGGAGCCCTGCTAGCGTTGTGTACCACTGCGCGGGATACATCGAACACACGCCTGTAGACGTTACTTGCACAAGAGTAAAATAATAAACAACAGCGTGCGTGCGCGTCTGCGATCTGCCCGCTGATGTGCGAGTGACGCGGTCGCACAGCAACGCCACCGCACAATTTGCCCAGTCACAATGAAACTCTCGCGTGTGTTAAATATCCACCAACTCATTACTAACTCAACAACAATAACAAATTGTGTCTGTCACAAGTGTGGGTGACATAAGTCATTGATTTTATCTAAAAGGAAGATGCAATGAAAAAAAACAAAGATCACTTGTAAATGAATATCTTCTGAGTGCGTCCCAGGCTATCCAACGCAAGATTTAAGCTTCGTTAATGAGAGGATGGACATCAACATTAGTAATTTTGAGCACGCCAGTGACATCACTACAATGTCACGTCTGTGCGCTATAATACACCGGCAATGAAGACATCACTTGAGTGCTGTGATAACTTGAGCATGATTTTAATACCTTTTGGATAATCAATGAAGTGCTAAAGCTCTTCAGATAGCCTAAGACACACAGGTCAAAATGTGAGGCCGCAAGATACGTCTCATTTGGATGCTTGACAAAACCTAACGGCAATTATATTCACAATCAGGAAATCCACCACAAGCGAGTTCTCGCGATTTGTCGCTGCGCTGAACCAAAACATACGTGTGTCTGACATCACAGTGACGTCACCGGAGTGCCATGATGACACACTTAACTGTAATTGGTCAAGCGCGTAATTTGACTGGTGAACCCATCGTTGTTATTTTAAGAACCAGATGGAGGCTGCCGTATCGCCACGGACCGACGCCGCTGTCACAATTAAAAAAGCTGAGCCCCGTGTTTTGTGTTTCGGGTTGCGAGTGCTCGCCTCTTAAAGCGCCGCTGCCGGGTGCTGGGGCTCACCTGCGTAATAGCGCTCGCTGGGCGTGTCGGGCGGCGCAAACGCCTTCCAGGCCCTGCTCACCGGCACCACCTCCTCCTCCGCCGCCTCCAGCCCCGCGCTGTGATCGCTCCCGACGCGAGCCTTGGGCAGACCTGGTTGGTGAACCACGGGGAGAAGGGAGGCGAGGGAGGGGTGATGCAGGCTCCGGGCAGAACTGCGAGCGACAGTTGTGCCTTATTTACGCTCGGTATTATTTAGGTAATTTGCCGTGGTGGCAGAGTGACCGACAACACCGTGCCGTGAATCTCTAGCGAACTTAGTCCAATTACTAGCCAATGGAGGTCAGTACCGTCCCATTGCTTGTTTGAGCACGGTGACACTTTTGACTTTTGATGCGAGTGTTTATGAAATGTGAATATTGATCGTAACAATCTCATTTTATTTATCCATGGCAGTAGAGTGGTGTTGCAGTGGTCCGTGCACTGCACCATGAACCAGAAAGGTATGGTAAAAAAAAACACCCAGTACCGACACGGTGCAGGTTAGGGTTTACCCATTGACAAAAGGGCTCCGTGTGTGGAAGTCAAAGTGATTTCCTGCTCAAATGATCATTGAGGCAGCACTTACCTCCTGTTCAAAGCCCTGCGGCAGCGGTGAAAATTCCACAATCCTATAGTGGAAGGGCGAGTCTATATCATAGGATAACCGTTGAATCCCGTACAAAGAGGTACTCTATTTTATCGACCCTGTAGAAATGCCAAGTCAACCGAGCCAAATGTACGATCTCATTTTTTGGCGTTTTTCACTGACGGTGTGGCGCTCAGTGGATGCGGGGTGGGGGAGGGGGCCGCCTCTCACCTCGGTACATCTCGTTCTTGACGTCCCCAAGCACCGTATCCAGTTCGTCCGTATCCACCGCGTCCCGGGCGCCGGGCGACGGCGGGGCCGGCGGGGGCTCACCGGCCCCTCCCCGCGTCGCGTTCACAAAGTCTGCGGCACAGGCGTGCAGGCGCGCTTACTGGTGTGGCGAAAGACGCGATAGATAGGCCCCACAGTGTTCATGGATGGCGCTCCAATACAGCATTTGTGTCACTGCTCTGCTCTGTGAAGGTGTTGTAAATCTAAACCAGCGGTTCCCAAACCGTGGCCAGCGAGCCGCTGGTGGTCTGCAATGTTACGGGAAGTGGTCTGCGGGAACTCTTGCAGATATATTTTTTTCTTTACAAAGCACCACGGCTTTCTTGTTACTGCACGGTGGTCCGCAAAAAAAATGTTGAGCTGTTATCAGTGGTCAGCGAGTCCATAAAGGTTAGGAAACGCTGATCTACATCATGAATTGAGACTTTGTATGAAGGCTTTCTTTCAATGATTTGTATCAAAGCAAAGAGGTGATGCAATACAATTGCATCAGGAAGTAATACAATACGGTATCAAGTATTGTATCGAAGCTTTGCGTCAAGACCTTGTTTATGGAAATGTACCAAGCCCATGTATGACAACTGCACGAGGGTTACGTCAAGGCATCGCGTGAAGGTTTTGTACGGAGGCCATCAGGACAGGACGCACCTTCGGGAATGATCTCCGTCTTGACCTGGAGCCGCCCCCATGACCCGTGTGATCGCTGTTCTTTCTCCGACTCGTGGAAATCCGAAGGCACATCCAGCTGAGGCTCCACGGGCTCCGACCACGGCCCTTGGTGAAATGCAACACACGTGCATGATAACAACAATAATCATAATTTGCGTGTGAAATAGCGTCCTTCTCACACCAGGGTGTGGTAGAGCAATGTACACACGATAAGCGACTTTAATCTCATCGCAAAACTTGCGGAGGGCACCCCTAGTGACAGCTGTCCCTATACGTCACAAGGTAATTCAGCACACGGCCTGCAAGCTGGCATCAGTCTAGAAACAGTGGGCGATGAATCCGATATGCAAACCCAATTGAGCATATTGCAGATCATGTTCAGTATTTGGAAAATTTTGACCATAATTCCGGAAAAGCTTTTGCGAGCAATGTTAGGGGATCTTTATCGTCCCCTGTGTGCAGACGTCGTGTATTTTTTTAGGGTTAATACATCAACAGTAATAGCCAGGATGGCCTGCTGTTTCTAAACCGAAAACTTATGCAACACATGGTGAAGAGGCTACACCACTGGGCCGTGTCATGTTCATTATCTGGAGCTGCCGTGGTGTAACGGTTAGCACATTGGTCTTGAAATCTAGAGGTCGTTGGTTCAAGTCCATTATCCAGAGGGGCAGTTGAAACGGTGAGTTTCTTAAATCTTCCCTCCTGTGTCCACCCAGCGGTAAAAACGGGTACGCCACCGTCAATCAGCAGGTTGCGTGTTGTGGGATAAAGTGTGGGTACGCCCATGTCTTCCCAACTCATCTGGTCAATGTGGAAGGATAGACACATCACCAGCGGTGGCATTGGCAAAAAAATTGCAGGGACGCACCTTTTACCTTTCGTAATTATCTACTACAAAAGCCGCTAATCTATCTGTGTGTCCAGAGAACTCCAACCTAGAGCACTCCACTCCGTGCAGTTAGCACACAACTACGCACACTACGCTATGAACCCGGCGACTTGAGTCGATTCCTGCCCACAGGTAACATCGGCGGCGAGCGACATCGTAACCGGTCGCGGGACCTCCGCTCTTCACCAAGCCGCACCGACCAGCACGGTGAAGCACAGTCAAACAACTGTCAGGCAATGGGCAGTGGCGGTAGCGGTGCGTGGAGCCTCACCGGCCGAGGCTGGCGAGTGGCGCTCCACCCACGCGTGCTCCACGCCTTGCTCCCACGTCTCGGCTGGATCCTCCTCCGCCAGGAATGCCGAGTCCTCTACGGGGGCCTCCTCCACCACGCCTGGGCAGACGCAGACAAAAGGGGCGCCGTGGTGGCGGGATGTTAACTGCCTCGCCTGGTATGCAGGAAGTCGTGGGTTCGATCCCGACCCTAACGCCTGATATATATTTGGAGTTTGCGTGTCTCGCGCTCTCTCCCTGTGGTCGTGTATATCTTTCTCCAGGTCCACCGGTTTTTCCCTCCACATTTAGAATCAACATGCGTTTAAGAGTATTTGGCTGCTATAAATTTGCACATAAGCCAGTCGAAACGTCGTGAGAATTTTTATTGTTTTATATTGATATTATTTTATTATTTCCCTTCTACGTGACTTTACCAAAAGAACCAAGAATATGAATCCCTGCAGTCACGAAAGCTTTAAATCAAAATATAAGCCATTTGTTGAGCTATAATTTGTGGCCAGGTTGTTTCTAAAAAATAGCTATATAGCTCAGTGTGCCTTACCTGGTAAAATAAAAAAGTGTAGTTTTAGTTTAAAGGCAGAGCGAGTTAAGCAGCAATGACTCATAGCTTCTGAGGCTAACAGGTAGGAAAACAACTAAAATGCCTGTGATTATATGGATGTTGAGTTTCTTTCGCACCACACGTAGCCAACCGTGCCAATTTGATTCGCAAAGTCTCTCTATCAAATGCCTTAATTTTGCATGTTTGCCTTGGTGTCATCTCATTTCTCGTTCAAGCCTGCAGCATGCTACCTCTCATTCCCAATGATTTGATAGAAAATCCCTCTTCTTTATATTCCCTGGATGTGCTCATATATGCGTGGCGTTTTGAGATGCGATCGCATTGAAACACTTTATACACCCGAATTGCATTGCACGGTGTCGTATCGTCTATGTATGTTGAACTTCTTTCGCACCGTACGTAGCCAACCATGCTAATCGGAGGTGCGGTGGGACGGACAAAAAATTAAACACAGGTAAAATTTCGATTTAAAGCTTTCGTGACTGCAGGGATTAATCTTCTTGGTTCTTTCGGTAAAGTCACGTAGAAGGGAAGTAATAAAATAATAAAAATAAAACATAATAAAATAATTCTCACGACGTTTCGGCTACAACGCACCCGAGGACGGCTGCTTGCGTTGTAGCCGAAACGTCGTGAGAATTATTTTATTATGTTTTATTTTTATTATTTTATTACTTCCCTTCTACGTGACTTTACTGAAAGAACCAAGAAGATAAACACAGGTAAGTTTACTGACAAGGTCACTAACAATCAGATGCTCCCCCCGAATGCTCCCCCTTACACGAGGAGTTGTTGGTGGAGCGCAGGGCTTCATCCGCCTCCGCCTGCTCGCCCGTGTACATCGTCGGCTCCAGGCAGCTGAAGCGGTCGGCCGACTGCAGCAGCTCGTGACTCAGGCTGTTGAGCGTGCCCACGATGGCCTCGAGCAGCGAGTTCATGAACGGGTGCACGGCCACCTCCATCACCGACTGCGCCAGCCTGGCCTTGCCCCGCTTGCCCGACGACACGGCCTTGAGGATGCGGCGCAGCACGGCGTAGAAGGCAAAGGGCAGCTTCTCGCGCGCGGCGCCAAACAGCTCGGCCGTCACCTGCGTGTCCTCGGCGCACGCCAGCAGCTCCTCGTAGTCGCTGATGCCCAGCTCGCGCTCCATGGCCTCGGCGAACTTGAGCTTCATGCCCTGGGTGGCGAGCCACGTGGGGAAGTCCCCGCGTGGGTCCGCTACGAGGGGGCACGCCATTCCGCCCGCCAGCGAGGTGTGGGCTGCGACGGGTGGGGTCATAGTCACCATCATCATTGGCTTCATCATCGTTTATATGAAATGGATCACTGCCTTTATCATCATCATGCAATCTGTAGTTTATATTAATTATAAGGCGTTTCCCAGTTTTGTTTTTACACCACTAAAAAGTGTGCACATGACGCAAATGTACCATATTTGCAAGGTGAAATTGACACTCAACGACGTGAATATTTTATTTGTAAAGTGTTGCTTGTAGATGCTTTATGAATCCAGAACGTATCAGATGGCAATGTTTCGCGGAGACTCATTGTGGAGGTGGATGGCGTTATTAATGCCCATCTGCTTCAGCGTCTGTGAGCAAATTGCCGGGGGGAATGCGCCCCCAACTCGTCAGATCTCGAAAGCCGAGCCTGGGCAGTGCCTGGATGCGTGAGCAGTGACCACCAAACACAAACAGGTCGTCATATGCTTGCGGTGCTACGTGGTAGTGCAGCAGAACGAAGTGCAGCACAACCCACTGTTATGCCGAACGCATGTCCTCTTCTGCCGCCTTCACGAACCCGCACAGATCAGCATGGTGAAGCACGGTCCAACAATCCCCAAGACCAACACGGCGTGCGCAGCAGTGGTCCGACACAACGGTTTACACGCAAGTGGTGAAATCAAGCGAGCAATTTGGCCAGTGAGAATTGGCGACATTGTACATTTGTATGGCGGGAGCAAGTCTGTACATATGCCAACCGCTGCTGAAATGCCCACCAAGCGGTTATCATTGTATAGACCCACCCCCAGCCCCAAAAGGGCAGCATTGGAACTAACGGTTGTGAACCACCGGAGGTGTTTTTTATTGTTGCATTTGTCAATTTCTCGGTTTTAGTCAAACGAAAGTTCACAATGACCCAACGCAAAGCTTGAAGACGCCGAGTTCTAAACCCGGCCGCCTTCCCCGGGCCACGGCTAACATCAGTGGCGTGTTATATATACCGTCAAAATAAACATACCCGTATAGATTGTAAAAGACTGTTGGGGCAAGTGCTGTTAGCGAGCAGCACCTATGAAGGCCGGCACGGCACAGGAGAGGGGGTGGGTGGCCAGCACCACGCCCGGCCGCCTTTGTCTCCCCAGTGCCAATGTTTTTTACACACCGCAACCAGGTACTGAATTGAGGCCGAGTCAACCTAGGGGTGGCCCAGGACCGGTTCATATAATCGTCACTACTGATGTTGGACGTGGGGGAGAAATCGAACTCGGCTCGCCGGGGTTCGTAGCGTAGCGCGCTCACCGTTACACGATTGCTCATCACTATATACAGTACATACTGTACAAAGACAAAGACCCCCCGTGTAGCCTGAGCAGACTGTTGGGGCAAGTGCTGTTAGCGAGCAGCACCTATGAAGGCCGGAACGGCACACGAGGGAGTGGGTGGCCAGCACCACGCCCGGCCGCCTTTGTCTCCCTCGTGCCAATGTTTTTACACACCGCAACCAGGTACTCATTTGAGGCCGAGTCGACCTAGCGGAGTCCCAGGACCGGTTCGAATAATCGTCACGACTGGTGTTGGACGTGGGGGGAGAAATCGAACTCTGCTCGCCGGGGTTCATAGCGCAGCGTGCTAACCCTTACACGACCTCTCCCCACTAAATATATACACAGTGCCACATTGTACACACACGCGCGCACGCATCTGAACTGGTCCCGGTATCAACCCACCCATCCATCTACCAAACCACCACAGACAAGCGTGGGGAAGTATGGTCACAAGAGCGCTGTTGCCACGGCTTGTGGTCAAAGTCTCTCCCACACCCCCCCCACCCTCGATCCGGTAGCGGACTGACAACGGCGCCTGGCAAATAACCAAATTGGCCACCGCAGTTTTAATGGCAGCGCGCTTAAAAAGCAGGACCGCAATGTTTTAACCAAATCGCCATCATCATCAGCAGCAGCGATCGGCTTCCAACGCGCTTACCGGACGATTCAAACGGTTACCAAAGCAGCGGCGGACGTCTTTGATTGCGCCAAAAAAAACAAACGCCCCTTCTTCTTCTTGTTATTCTTATTGTTTTCTTCTAATTAAAACGATAAAAGCTAAATGTGTTGCGTGTGTGCGCTCGGGTCGCCGCGAGCACTCACCATCGACGCTTCCCTGCCGTTGAACCCCCCGCGAGCCCTAACAAGCCGAGCATTGATTGGACGAGCTGCGCCGGCGTCTCAGTAAGACGCGCTCTGATTGGTGGACGCGACCGGCGGCGCTTCTAAAGGGCTCCGGGCTACTTTGGGCGCTGTGGGGGGTGGGGTCACGGTGGGATTCTTAGGGTTCAGATTTATGATGATGCTTATTATTGTTCTTTATTTTGGTAAGTGTATAATAACCGCGGATTGTGGTTATCGTACACTTTGGTTGAACGTCTTCAGTTAGGTTTATGTTTCGCCTTATCTGTGTTCTCTTTGAGTAAGAGTGGCCAGGAAGAATTGGTGGCTTGAGCCAATATTTATCAAATGTACTTCACTCAATCAACAATGTCTGGGTTTCAACATTTTTTAAAAGTCGAATAAATAGCTAAAACATAAAAATACATGTGAGAGAAATATTTATCCTAATCATTCATTGGTTCTAATAGCGGTCATTATACATCTTATACATATAAAATGTGTAAAATAATTGGTGCTGATCTTGTATGGAATTCAGATTCTTTGGGTCTTTCGTTAAAGCCACGTAGGAATTTTTTTTCAAGTTTTGCTCTTTCACACATATCACCCAGATCGTGCCATTAAAGCCGCGTCATTAAACAGAGGGTCCATTCGTATCTCAGCGGTGCTGGATAATGGTCCACAGAGCTACCTCTGAAATCCCTGCCACAATTGGGATATTTGGCCACATGCCATTCTTCTTTCGTATATGGATTAATAGCAGCAGATTAAATATGTAAATTTAGATTTGTCATCAACTCAATTGTCTGTTCAGAAGCAGAGTGGATCTAGTCCGTTCCCAATTTAAAGGCGTAAAGACAGCAGCAGCGGCGGAGTGTTTACGATGAGGGTCGATGGTTTGCAATTCGTGGCCGCACCACTCGCAGGCCGACGAATCTTCGATGCGCAATTTGTGCACCACGTGGCCGCATCGCATTTGTGCACCACGTGGCCGCATCGCATTTGTGCACCACGTGGCCGCATCGCATTTGTGCACCACGTGGCCGCATCGGCCATGCCCGGTCCCGATTCGGTTGATGGTCGATCATTCGCTGCGTGGAAAGGTTGAAACCGGGAGGTTCCACGTTCGGGTTGCTATACGAGATGTTTCTTTATCGCGTCGACCACAGTCCAGACTTGCTACCATCTCCCGCCTTCATTTGTATTTGTGGCATGGAGTGAGGCTGCTGTGATCTAGAAGGCGTGCCGCGATTTTAGATGAACAGGCGGCGCTGGGTTGATGTCCCGATGGGCTTGTGACTTTGTGCGGGAGAAAACCGAAGAACCCGTAGAAAATCTACCAGTGATATGAGAGGATAACACTAAAATGTCCGTTTTGCAGATAGGTTCATGTACCACTTTCTGTGCTGCAATCAGCCTGGTCTACTTGCAGCCAAGAGGGTTTGGAAGATTCACAAACCTCTGTATGATCTTGACTTAAAACTTTCGTGACTGTAGGAATTCATATTCTTTATTTTTTTCGGTAGACACGTAGATATATTTTTTTTAATTAACTTTATTTTCTACCTCTGTATGATCCACAAAACGTTGGCTCCGAAGCACTGCATCACATGCATTTTGTTCACTTGAGCTGTTAGAATTTGTTCCAATAAATAAAAGCTACCAAACATCTGGACGGCTCAACTGGGACACATGGGTGAGCTTTTGCAGTCCCCACTCACTCTGATATTGATCCTGCCTACTCCGCGTCCAACCACCGCCCAGTGCTCAGCCATACATTGACCCCCCCCCCCCCCTCATCATCCTGAGTCGGGCATGCGGCCAGAACATTTACACCTGGGAAAAATTCTCATCTTTAGCAAATGCTTCGGGGGTGAGGGGGGGGGCACACCGATAGAGCCTTTCTGAAGCCACAGGGACTGTCCCAGCCAAAACAGGATGTATGGTTGCTTGACAACATATCAATTGGTCAGTGGCCTTTATTCAGAACCGATGTGAGAGCAGTCTCTTGGAAGGGAGACCCTGGAGTATACTTGCAAGAGAAGAGCGTATTTGCTGTGGCTACAAATAGGGGGCATAGAGATGAAACAGTGAAGCCAAACAGCTCACGATACCCCGATTCGTTGAATGCCACTCAACTCGAAACGGCACTAAGGGCTTACACGTGGTGTAAATGGGGACATTGGCGTCCAAATGTAGTCCTGCGCCCCAATCTCAAAGTGAAAGCACTTACAGATGTATTGGCTGTCTGTGCACACGTGTGGCTGATTAAACCGAGACTCCAGCAGACTAGCCTTGGGAGCCAGTCCTTTAAATGAAAACCTCATTGGGAAGTGCTGCTCACACACAGATAAAAAACAATGACGTAGCATGGTTGGCAACGGGGCCCTGGTGCAAGGAATTAAATGGAGCCCTCTGTACAACTTGCCCTCTTTCTAACCGTGCCTAGGCCCCTCCAGCTCATGGACCCTGATTGCATGTGCACCACTTGCACACTCAATGCACGTATGTTGAACATCTTTCGCACCGAACGTAGCCAACAGTGCTAATCGGAGGTGCGAGAAGTAGCAATACCACGGGCCAACAGCCTTCTAATCGGGCAGTACCATCTGAGGTGAAAAATCCTATGATCAAATCACGTGGTTTACAAAATGAAGAGCAGCACTTTCCCCACCCACTCCACCATCGAGAAAAATGTATGTGTTAAACTTCTTTTGCACCAGTACGTAGCCAACTATGGTAATGGAAGGTGTGAGGGAAGGACATCACACTAAACACAAAAGGCAGGTCTAAAAAATACATTATCAATCTACAATTAAAAGTGCATCGCTCCAGTGACTTCCGATTATCGGAAGAGCAATCCAGGTCGCAGATGCGCATCTGAAAGCACGCGATGCAGTGACCGTCTTTGTTCAATGGCTAGCCAAAATGTTGGACATGTGACAGGTAAACTGATTCTCTGAGCTGACATTTAGCAAAATTAAGTGGAAAATATAACGTAAGGGTTCCCCCGCTTCATGCGATAAGATGGGTGCCAAAATAAGCAGTGCACAAAGTGAAACCGCACGAGATGCCTGCAGAGGAGCCCATACGGTACACAAAATGTTGTCAAATGTTGTCCCACGTCCAACCGCAGTCACGTGAGTGAATTCAAACCAAAAATAATTTTGGGTAAAAATAAATTTAACTGCACGTACGCGAAATGGCACAAACCGAACCTGTGTAAAGCGAGGTGAAACCTGCATTGTGATTGCTTCTTTTGTGCAGTCATTGATGATCAGGCTGAAATAAAAAAACAACGGAGATAAACTCAACTATAAAACATGCTTTAATCATTGGGCGGCAGTATCCGGATTGTAACCCAGGACCGAGGTTGTACCAGCTCAGCGCTCTGACCTCCGCGCTACCCGGTCACTGAACGAAAGTTGTTTTAATTGAATCTGTCTAAATTACACGTAGGGATAATCTTCCATGTGACCCGTGCCCACCGTGCCTCGGTTCTTCGTGGCCATGATCGTCCTCTTGGGCACAGTGGGGGTGGTCAACAATAAGTAACAAAATAAAAACCAATAGTTCTCCAGAGGTGATCTTCTTGCTCTCCATGCTTGGACACAAGGAATCCAGGCAGAGATTGTTCACACACTATGGGTTTATTGAACCAGCCTCTCCAGCAATCGAGTATATTGGACCATCTTAAACGACCAAATGTGCTGTCAACTTCACGTCCCACTGATGAAAATACATGCGAATCTGTACGAAGTTGCTGAGCGGCCATTTTGAGCCCTGCTTAGAGCATCGGCGACAACGTTCCCCTTCCCCGGTATGTGCTTGATATCAAAAGCATATAGGGCCAACTTGGAAACCCAACGTTGTTCATGATATACGTCAGCAGATTGTTGTCAATGAAAACAGTGAATGTGTCCCCTCAGCCAGTGACTAAATTTCTCACAGACACTCCACTTGAGGAATCCCAGTCGATGCGGAATCCCAGTCGATGCGCAGGGTATCTTTTCTGTGCCCCTGTCAGTGCTTTGCTGGCAAAGGCCAATGGTCGTGCTTGATCTCCGCCTTCTGGCCGGATTATCAGTCGTACACCCTGTAAAGGTAATGGGGGCAGACTGTCCCTGATCTGCAATACCGGTAAGATGTAAACGATTAGCACAATCCTGTCAGAAGCTACTTTATAGCTGCATTGTGACCTCTTAGCCAATCTGCCATGCCAGCTGAGTGACAAAATCACCTACGACCTCTCTCTGCTCCTGAGACATTTGGCTTTCCCCTGGCTGCCCCATTGCAGTACTGCAGGTGTAGTAAGTTGCAGGAGGCTCGGACGACGTCGTTGGAGGCACACTTATTTATTAACACCAACTTGTGTACAGTAACGGGTACACACAGCACTTGAAGGGGTATCGTCCCCTTCACTCGTCTAACAGGGAGACACAACGTCTAACCCCGCTAACCTACGCCCGAGTCCTCCACTTCGGCGCTAGGGGAGGCTACCTATCCCAGCCCTGGTCAAGCTGGGATCCCGGCACCCTGAGTCTCCAGACCGGCTCTTATAAGAACGTCAGTCTGGGCTCTCGGGGCCACGCCACCGGCTTGCCCTGGTCGGCCCTGACAAGGACAGCGAGCCAGGGGAGCTCCGGGGCCTATTTTAGCTGGTCTTCACTCTTTGCTGGATAAAGCTAACACTCGACCTCGAGCCCTCCGGCTCACCACCTTTTATAGCAATCGGCCCCCCCCCCGGGGGCCGTGGGGGATGCAGGTGCGGACGTCGGTGTGAGCACCTTCTCTGTGTACGGCCATAACCACGCCCCTTGTGTTTGTTACCCATCCGTGCCCATACATCTACACAATTACACCTCTACACTGGGTTGATTATTATAGTACAGCGTTCTTCATAAACACATTCCTGCGGAGGGAGCTGGTAGGAACGTTGGGTTGCTCGGTCAATGGCCAGGGTCAACGGCGGCGTGGTGTATTCCGCAAATATGGCCGACTGTGAGGGCGGGCACAAGCCGGCGTGAGTAGGTTAAACGTTGAGTTTTATAAGGGCACCACGGGGTGACCAGCCCCTCCCCACCCAGCCCCACCCCTCCCACCCCACCCACCCAGCCCCTCCCCACCCCACCCAGCCCCTCCCCACCCTCCTCTCTCCACCAAGCCCCTCCCCCTCCCATTTTTTGTTGCACGACGGACGGACACAATAATCCCCTGTGGGCTGGTGGAACCAGGTGTTTCCTACCAGTACGACACGTGTATATATGTACGCGATCTAATAAAAAAAACACATATATCACGTATGATATTGGTGGCGAAGGCCCTACTTACTACTTACTACTCTGTGTTAAACTTTAACATCACTGGCACCGCTTCACCGCTTCACCCCCCCCCCCACCAATGCCCCCCCCACCAACGCCCCCCCCACCAATGCCCCCCCCCCACCAATGCCCCCCCCCCACCAATGCCCCCCCCCCCACCAATGCCCCCCCCCCACCAATGCCCCCCCCCCCACCAATGCCCCCCCCCCACCCCTTCACTTCCGGGCGGCGGAGGGTTTCCGCGCCCACGCCCTCTGTGATTGGTCCACGGGAATCTGTGCCGCCCACGTGACGAGGCTCGGCTTCCGGCGAATGTGTGCGTTTGGGGCACCACGTGATGGTCGGAGCCCGGGTTCCCGTGCGGTACGAGACGCTTCTGCCTACTCCTACACACACCATACCACACACCAAACAAACACACCACACACCAAACAAACACACCACACACCAAACAAACACACCACACACATAACGCACCACAAACACAACACACCACAAACAACACCCCCTCCACACACACCCTACACACACATACAACACACACACACCACACTGTGTGTGTTGTGTGTGGGGCGTGTTGTGTGTGTGTGGGGTGTGTTGTGTGTGTGTGGGGTGTTGTGTGTAGTGTGTTTGTTTTGTGTGGTGTGTTGTGTGTGGTGTGTTTGTTTTGTGTGGTGTGGTGTGTTTGTTATGTGTGGTGTGGTGTGTTTGTTATGTATGGTGTGGTGTGTTTGTTATGTATGGTGTGTGTGGTGTGTTTTGTGTGTGGTGTGTTTTGTGTGTGGTGTGTTATGTATATAGTGTGTGGTGTGTCCTGGGCCTCCCCTCGGTAGACCCAAATGAGTACCAGGTGCGGTGTGTAAACATCGCCACTGGGGAGACAAAGGCGGCCGGGCGTGGTCCTATCCACCCACCCCGTCGTGTGCCGTGGCGACCTTAACAGGCGCCACTCGCTAACAGCACTTGCCCCCCTCCCCCCCCCAACAGTCTGCAGAGGCTACACGGGGGAGCTTTGGTGTGTCGCGAACAAATAATAATAATAATGAATTAAAGCGCTCGCGAAAGACGAACTAAATAAACAATTAAAGCCGCCCACGCATGCGCACAGCGGCGCGGACAAAGCGCTCCCAATTGAACTGTTGAACACTCAACCCTGGGGCAGGATTTGAACGTGGTGGGTTGGTGGTGGTAGTGGCTTGGTGGTGGGTTGGTGGGGGTGGTGGTGGTGGTTGGTGGTGGTGGTTGGTGGTGGGTTGGTGGTGGTGGTGGGTTGGTGGTGGTGGTGGGTTGGTGGTGGTGGTGGTGGTGGTGGTGGTGGTGGTGGTGGTGGTGGGTGGTTGGTGGTGGGTTGGTGGTGATATTGGTGGTGGTGGTGGTGTTGGTGGTGTTCGTAACGCGAATATTCACCACGCTCGCCCATGGGGTTTTGTATTATTTTTTAAATCTCTCCTACTACTACTGCTGCTACTACACGACACGTTGCCTCGGGAGCGTCAGAACGAACGGGCCATGCTAACGTCTAAAGTTACTCGCTCCGCGTGAGGGCGACAAAGCAAGGCAGTAGGAGCAGCAGCAGAGCGGTGGGTTTTTTTGGAGTTCGGCTCGGGAAGCTGTGGCCGTGTTTGTGGGAGGAGGTGGGGGGGGGAATCAGGCGGCCGTGAGACCAGGCCCCAGTGTACGAGGGAGCCGTGGGCGAAGCCCCCAAAAGGTAACAAAAACGTCGTCTCGTCGTCGTCATCGTCGTGTCCCCCTTGAATGGCGCCCTCGGGCTTTGAATGTTCGTTCAATTTTGAATAAACGACGTCGTTGCGTTATTACGTTTAGTAAGTGCGCGGGCACACACACACGCACGTGTCTTAGCTCGTGCGTGGTTGGTGGTGGTGGTTGGGTTGGTAGTGGTGGTGTTTGGGTTGTTGTTGGTGGTGGTTGGGTTTGGTGGTGTTTGGGTTGTTGGTCGTGGTGGTGTTTAGGTTGGTGGTGGTGGTTGGGTTGGTAGTAGTGGTGTTTGGGTTGTTGGTGGTGGTGGTTGGGTTGGTAGTGGTGGTGTTTGGGTTGGTGGTGGTGGTGGTTGGGTTGGTAGTGGTGGTGTTTGGGTTGGTAGTAGTGGTGTTTGGGTTGTTGGTGGTGGTGGTTGGGTTGGTAGTAGTGGTGTTTGGGTTGGTGGTGGTGGTTGGGTTGGTAGTGGTGGTGTTTGGGTTGTTGGTGGTGGTGGTTGGGTTGGTGGTGGTGGTTGGGTTGGTAGTGGTGGTGTTTGGGTTGTTGTTGGTGGTGGTTGGGTTTGGTGGTGTTTGGGTTGTTGGTCGTGGTGGTGTTTAGGTTGGTGGTGGTGGTTGGGTTGGTAGTAGTGGTGTTTGGGTTGTTGGTGGTGGTGGTTGGGTTGGTAGTGGTGGTGTTTGGGTTGGTGGTGGTGGTGGTTGGGTTGGTAGTGGTGGTGTTTGGGTTGGTAGTAGTGGTGTTTGGGTTGTTGGTGGTGGTGGTTGGGTTGGTAGTAGTGGTGTTTGGGTTGGTGGTGGTGGTTGGGTTGGTAGTGGTGGTGTTTGGGTTGTTGGTGGTGGTGGTTGGGTGGTAGTGGTGGTGTTTGGGTTGGTGGTGGTTGGGTTGGTAGTGGTGGTGTTTGGGTTGGTAGTAGTGGTGTTTGGGTTGTTGGTGGTGGTGGTTGGGTTGGTAGTAGTGGTGTTTGGGTTGGTGGTGGTGGTTGGGTTGGTAGTGGTGGTGTTTGGGTTGTTGGTGGTGGTGGTTGGTTGGGGTTGGTAGTGGTGGTGTTTGGGTTGGTGGTGGTGGTGGTTGGGTTGGTAGTGGTGGTGGTTGGGTTGGTAGTAGTGGTGTTTGGGTTGGTGGTGGTGGTTGGGTTGGTAGTGGTGGTGTTTGGGTTGGTAGTGGTGGTGTTTGGGTTGTTGGTGGTGGTGTTTGGGTTGGTAGTGGTGGTGTTTGGGTTGGTGGTGGTGGTGGTTGGGTTGGTAGTGGTGGTGTTTGGGTTGGTAGTGGTGGTGTTTGGGTTGTTGGTGGTGGTGGTTGGGTTGGTAGTGGTGGTGTTTGGGTTGGTGGTGGTGGTGGTTGGGTTGGTAGTAGTGGTGTTTGGGTTGGTGGTGGTGGTGGTTGGGTTGGTAGTGGTGGTGTTTGGGTTGGTAGTGGTGGTGTTTGGGTTGTTGGTGGTGGTGTTTGGGTTGGTAGTGGTGGTGTTTGGGTTGGTGGTGGTGGTGGTTGGGTTGGTAGTAGTGGTGTTTGGGTTGGTGGTGGTGGTGGTTGGGTTGGTGGTGGTGTTTGGGTTGTTGGTGGTGGTGGTTGAGTTGGTGGTGATTGGGTTGGTGGTGGTTGTGGTGTTTGGGTTGTTGGTGGTTGTGGTGTTTGGGTTGTTGGTCGTGGTGGTTGTGGTGTTTGGGTTGTTGGTCGTGGTGGTTGGGTTGTTGTTGTTGGTGGTGTTTGGGTTGGTGGTGGTTGTGGTGTTTGGGTTGTTGGTCGTGGTGGTGGTTGGGTTGGTGGTGGTGGTGTTTGGGTTGTTGTTGGTGGTGTTTGGGTTGTTGGTGGTGGTGTTTGGGTTGTTGTTGGTGGTGGTGTTTGGGTTGTTGGTGGTGGTGTTTGGGTTGTTGGTGGTGGTGTTTGGGTTATTGGTGGTGGCGTGACCGTCTATGATCAATCCACGCCGGCTTGCGACAGAATCTTCGGAAAGCTAAACCCGGGGTGGTGGTGGTGGTTGTTGTTGTTGTTCCTCCACCGTGGTGTCTCGTTGATGGGATGGGCCGCCACTACGATCAACGGGGGGGGGGAGGTATAGGCTGCGCTGCTGATGGACGACATAGTGCAGATTTTTTTTAATCCGATGAACTGTTCTATGCTGCTGCTGTATTGAAATGTCTATGCTGCTGCTGTTGTATTGCACTCTTCTATGCTGCTGTTGTACTGCACTCTTCTATGCTGCTGTTGTACCTCACTGTTCTATGCTGCTGTATTTCACTGTTCTATGCTGCTGTTGTATTGCACTGTTCTATGCTGCTGCTGTTGTACTGCACTGGTCTATGCTGCTGTTGTACTGCACTGGTCTATGCTGCTGTTGTACTGCACTGGTCTATGCTGCTGCTGTTGTACTGCACTGGTCTATGCTGCTGCTCTTGTTGTAATGCACTGTTCTATGCTGCTGTTGTACTGCACTGGTCTATGCTGCTGCTGTTGTTGTACTACACTCTTCTATGCTGCTGTTATACTGCACTGTGCTATGCTGCTGCCCAAGTCGTCTATGCTTGCCCGCCTTCACCAACCCAAACTGACCAGCAGTGGTGAAGTATGGTCACAGTCCAATAACCTCCTCGACCCACGCTGGCGTGGAGAGACCCTCATCCAGCAGTGGATCGACAGCAGCGTCCGTACACGCGCGTTCCGTGAAGTACCTTTGGTTTGGCTAATCCATAACTTGTCAACCCACACGGTTTGCCCTGTATTCTTGTACAGGGAAATTGAGTTTTCAGGTCCATACTGCGTTACAGCCGTTTCAATGCGGGCAACAACAACAACAATCTTCTTGGTTCTTTCGGTAAAGTCACGTAGAAGGGAAATAACAAAATAATAAAAATAAAACATAATAAAATAATTCTCACGACGTTTCGGCCACAACGCAAGCAGCCGTCCTCAGATGAAGACCAGGTCTGTCGGGGAGATGCTGTCTCAGACGCTGTCTCCCCGACACACCTGGTCTTCATCTGAGGACGGCTGCTTGCGTTGTGGCCGAAACGTCGTGAGAATTATTTTATAATGTTTTATTTTTATTATTTTATTATTTCCCTTCTACGTGACTTACCGAAAGAACCAAGAAGATGAATCCCTGCAGTCACGAAAGCTTTAAATCGAAATTTAACCAAGAAGTAATTGTCTCGAACCGCTGTTAATTCTTAGGCGTTGTTTAAGACGGTCTGTTTGTGATGATAACAATGATTTAGAGCGATTTGTCAGAATCGGAATATTTATTTACAGAATCCGATGAGCTATAATGCTTTCTTTAATAGATGTCCAGTCGGGGCAGGTAAGGACCTTACTACAACAATTATAAAACAAATTCTAGACTAAGGGTCTCCGTAATGCTCATGCAGTGTATTAGTCATGGTTCTTGTTTGACCATACTTCACCACGCTGGTCAGTGCGGGTTGGTGAAAGGCGTTTTGGGGGCGGAGGTAGAGTTACGACCGCTTTAGACATCACTCGCCACTGATGTTAGCCGTCGCTAGGACTAGAACCTAGCCCCTCCGGGCTCATAACACATTGCGCTAACCATTCATACCCGCTTTGTCGCTTGAGTTGAGTATATTAATGATCTCAGGTAGTGGATCATTAGCAGGTATGGGTTGAGTCTGTAATGCAAAATCTTCTACTTTGAAGCGCTATATTTTTTTAATGCCTAATCCTAGAGTGGTACAGATGGCTTAAGAGTGTTGTCTTCGCAAAATCGTGGCGATAAAAGTTTATCCACGGCACTGTACTGCTGTACCAGACCCCAACCCTTACGCCTAACCCCTAACATTTTCCCTAACCCCAATCCTCAATCCTCAACCCTAACCATAATACTAAACTCTAAACCTCTCGCCAACCCCTAACTCCTAATCCTAAACCCCAAACCCCAAACACCCTATCTCTCAACCCTATCATTAACCCCTGACCAAAAACCCGAACTCTAAACCATAATTTTATACATAACAACTAAACGCAAACTCTAGATCCTAAACTCGAACCATCAACCCTAACCCCCCAATCCTTAACCCCTGAACCATGGACGAAGACGGCATTCATATTTAATCAACTCAATCCTAAGGAAGGTCTGTGATTGGACGAAACCCTGGTCAGTGATTACATAAAAACCATTTCTTGGCATAGAAATCTTTTACAGAGGGTTGTTGATGCAGATTTAAATTCTGTGTTTGATTGGGGTCGGATCAGGAACGATGATACACAGGTGGACGACCGCAGGGTGGAGTGCATTTGTAAAACTGAATTTAGGTCGAGACCAGTGATGGACTAGCAGCCAAAGGAGGGAATAAAACCCGAGCAGATGTCCACCGCGGAGATGGAACGATGAGATCCGTCTCTCGCGTGGGAACTCGAGTTATCGTGGCATCGCGAGATGGCGACTTGTCTTGGCGAAGCCTTCATCCAGCAGTGGATAGGGCACGGCTCGCGCGTTCACGAGTGACGCTTGCAACTGATGACGTCGCGAATTCACCATGTAGTTGTCTGGGCATGGTACTCTACATCGGTGAGTAATGCGGTGGTGTTGGTAGTGGTGGTGTTATTCATGTGCCAAATGTTCACCTGTCTATCACTGGCGAATGAGTAACGTTGAGTCTCAAGCCGAGTCTTGCCCCCCGTGTGCCAGAGAGAAATTCAATTTGCGGAGTTGGACAACCGAGCCATGTGTCGTCACGGCCACGGAGGCTTCGTCCTGGACGTGGTGATTGTTTCAAACTCTCAGTTTGCCGAGCACGGGTCCAAAACGCCGAGCGGTCAGTGACAAACGGCACTGTTTGGGATGAAAGGTGTAATGGATGTGAGCAGGCGCGTTTCTTGACTTGAGGAAGCGTAAATGTGGAACGTTTGTTCCAGCGCTGGGCCAACGTTGGTCTGACATTGACCCAACGTTTGCCCAACGTCGGCCCAATGGCATGCTTACTGGGAAGGTGTCACCGCTGATCCGTGTGCTGCCAGAGCATCAGCTGTGTCTGCACTTGCATGTGTGCAGCTCATTTCCTCAATCCACTGCTGGATGGAGGGCCTCCTCCACTCTCCTTTTGTGGGTCTCAACCATCGTCGACAGTTTGACGAGCAACTCAATAAACGTGTCCATGGTGGTGTTTCCGCGCGTCAGATCTTCACAGCGAGCCTTGCCCCACGTTGCTGGACGGTGCGTGTGCTGCGGTATTGTCAGCCGCTACCGGATGAGGGCCTCCCCCCCCCCCCCCCCCCCCCGTGCCGTGGGGGTTATTTGGCCATTCTTGGGTCATTTCGGATTGGTGAAAGCGAGATGCGTAGATGTGGTACAATTATTATTAACTTGGCCACTCTGTCCTCTGCTGCCCCAACGCCGATACCAACCTGTTTTTATTCATCTGCCATTGCCCAGAATGTCGCCTGTTATGTATATTTCCCCCCCCCTCGAAGGCTGCACGTTGTTGTTGATGAATGTGAATTTTATTCATGAGCACCTTTCCCATCAGAGCAACCCTCCAGGCACGGACCTGCTTGGCTTCTGAGATCTGATGGGAGATGGGGTGAATTCAGAGTGATCTGGTCATAGGCTGCACATTTGGCGAAAGAACACATATTTTTTTAAATCATCAGTTGGAGTACCGCATGGCCCCCATTCAAACACGTCGGAATGCGGGACATGCTGGTCCAGCCTTTTGTATTGTATTCAAAAGGCTTATTCACCCTTCCTAGCAGCCCCATTCAATACAAAGGCTTTAATCACATCAATCACATTAGGCCAACCGTTACGTCCCGTACAATAATAAAACCCACTGCTCCCATGGGTCCGAGGATCCACATGCGATGATCCACCTATTGACTTCTAGAATTAATTGAAAATTCAAATGCCGATTACTCCATACTAAGGTCATCTTTGCGGCGGCCAAGATCAAGCAAACCCACGGATAACGCAAACCGTGTTAATATTAGGTCAGGAAATCGCCCGTGTCTGTCAAAACAAACCAATTGTGAATTAGAATATTGGCGGTTAAAGCCCTCGTATAAGACCACGTCCATCGTCTACCTACATGAAATGGAGGGGTGGGGGGGCGGCGATAACGTAGAATGCCGTCATCCGTTCCTACCGCTGCTTAAAGCGATCGGTCGGTCGCAATGGGCCGCTGGGCTGCCGGCCCTCGAACGATTGAGGAGCAGCTGACGATCAAAGCATAAGTGCGAATCGAAATCCAGGTTTAATGTGGACGGTGGGCGACTCGGGCTGGCCGCCCGCCCGCAGATAATTGAGAGTTCACCGTGTCCACTGTGTGCGTGCATGCGTGAGCAGGTGTCACACTGTTCGCGACAAGAAGCCGCCGAGCCTTGAGGACGAGACCTAGCCAGAGGCAAAGACAAGAAGAAAGAAGCACAGAGCGTGGAAACGCAGGTGGAGGAGAGGTGGAAGGAGCGACACGGGGCGAAGAGGAGGCGGTGAACACGGGAGGAGGATTAGGAACGTGGGAGAAGAAGGAAGAGAGGCAGAGGAGAAAGCGAGGGAGGAGGAAGGGCATTAGGAATACCGGAGGAGGGATCGTTAACACGGCAGGAGCATAAGGAGGAGGCCGCAGCACTCGGCGGTAACCATGGCCGTGGAGGAGCGGCTGCATTCGCCGCACCGGGGTTTCCCGGCGTGGCTTGGCACGCGCGGGCTCAGCCCCGAGATCGCGCTCGCCATGGACACCGAGCTGGGCATCCGGGACTACGAGGTGCTGCTTGCCTGCGCCGAGGACCTGCAGGTTCGCTCCGAGCTCTTCTCAGTCGCCCGCGAGCGCCTGCCCTTCGGCTTCTACGCCGTGCTGCGCCGCGTGGTGGCGGCGTTCCCGGCGGAGCGCGTCGGCGACTGCGGCGCCGCCGCGTCGGGCCGATCGTGCCCCGGCCTCGGCTCGCTGCTGGAGGCGCTCGTGAACACGCTGAGCAGCCTGAGCCGCGAGCTCCTCCGCTCGGCCAACAAGTTGAGCGCGCTGGACCTGGGCACGCCGCGGGATGGAGACGGAGTTGCCGACTCCGGCGGCGCCGACGGCAGCGGCGACGGAGAGGCGCCGGGGCAGAGGCAACGGCAGCGTCAGCAACGTGGCGGCACGCACCGCTATTCAGGTGAGCACGGGGGTGGGGTGGGGATCCTCGTCGCGTAGGAAACGGGCGACTGCACTTTGGAACGCTTGGAATGTGGAGAGCAGTGGAGGGTAGTTAATGAAGCGGTTCAGGTGACATCTTCCCCCAGCTTGCTGTCGGTCATTTGAGGGCATTTTTCAGTCCGCTGCTGGTGGAAGGCCTCCCCACGGTGGCGAGGATATAACCTACCGCGCCAGGTATACAGGAAGTCGTGGGTTCGATCCCAACCCTGACGCCTGTATTTTTGGAGTGCTTCTCTCTCCCCGTGACCTCATGGATTTTTCTCTGGGTCCTCCAGTTTTTCCCTCCACATTTTGGAATCAACATGCGTTTAGAGTATATTGCTGCTTTAAATGTCCACGTGATAAGCCTCTTCATTGAGCTATCATTGTGGCCAGGTCGCTTCTGAAAATGAGCTATGTAGCTCAGTGGTCCTTACCTGGTAAAATAAAAAAAATAGTTTAAATAGTTTATATCTCACTGGACCATGCTGGTCAGTCAGGAATGGTGAAGGCGTGACGGGAGGCTGAAACCGGTTAAGATATCACTGCACCACCGATGTTAGCCGTAGCCGGGAATCGACGGTCGCTGGGTTCATAGTGCAGTGAGTTAAGCGCTGCTCCACTAGCTCTCCTAGTTCCGAAGTCTTTGAGGACCGGACAAGGATTAAGGGTCACTGTCGTTGGCACTGGAACAAGCAGTGTGATGGCATCGTGCTCATTTCGTGGTTTCCGAGCTCGCAGTGGAAATTCCACATTCCTATCGTTGGAGGCAATCGTTGTGTAGGACAGCCTCCTGTTGACTCCCCACAGGGCGGTCCTTTTTTTTTACTTTTCTTCGGGAGGGTCCCCCAACATCGGGATGATGTTTGGCCACGAATTAATTCGGTTCACGAGAGTTTGGCTTCCGCGTGGGAGGAAACCGGGGAGCCCGGAGAAAACCCCCACCGCTTAGAGCGACGCGATGCCGATAGCCACATTTGGGATAACATTGTGGTGTGGGGGGGTAGGTGGGGTGGGGTAGAGGGGAAAACAAACACGTTAACCCTTGCCCATTCCGAGGCATCTGCAAGTGGCAGGGGGTGAGTGTCCCGTTCACCACTGGATCTCGGAACGCGCAAAAGTGGCTCGGTGTTAATTTGATTTAGAGAGGCGTAGCGCCGATTTATTTAAAGACATCGCACGCACCGCAGAGAACCGTAGCCACACGACCGCACTCAATGATAGCTGGCGCCAAACTGTGCCACGCGCCCTCCCGCGTGGCCTTGTGGGAGCCTCGGTACGTCTTGCGACCTGAAGACGTACCAATAGATTGATTTTATTTTAGTATTTCCTATGATTCGTGATGAAACTGATGACGGGAAAGGGTTATAATGAGGAGTAAATGGACGCCCGTGCCCAGATGTTGCCGACCATGGCACCGAGGAGGTGTGCGAGATGCCAGCCGAGGAGGTGGACGACCACGACGACGACGGCGAAGAGGAGGAGGAGGATGTGGAAGTGCCTTCGGGATGGAGAGTCAACCAGATGACAGAGACCTCCTACCCCAAGCTCCCTGCAGGTAACGTTAGGGCGACGCCAGGCGGTGGTGGTGGTGGCGGCCACGCTGCTGTACGCTGGCTGCCTGTAGTCCATCGCCGTGCGGGCAGCGGTGAGAGGGTTGGCGGATCGCGCAGATGTCGTGAAACTGCTTCACCCCCCCCTCCCCCACCGTGGGCGTCGTGGATGTGCCCTACCTTGGCTTGCCAGGAAGACGGCGGTTCAGCGAACTGTTGAGTGATCTTCATCTGTTCTTTCTTCATGGGATAGAGTGTTAGCCCTCCCTCCCCATCTCACACCTGCTTAGCTTTCGAGGTCTGACAGAGACCGGGAGGCTGATTTTGATTTTTAGCATTTCCTGTTCCGATGACGTACGTGTATGTCATCAAAAGGAAACCGGAAGAAAAGCTAAAATATAATAGCTATGGCTAACGAGGCTCCCACAAGGCCATGCGGGAGGGCGTTTAGCACAGTTTGGCGCCTGCGGTGAGCATGGTGTCTTGACAAACAGCGGCACTACACGTCTCGTAATGGGAAAGAGTTAAGTGTGAGCGAGCGGGCGGGCGGGCAAACTAGTAACGGGCGTCACTGATTGGTTACAGATTCCGCGCAAGGGCCCCTGCTGAGGATGAGCGAGATGCTGACCTCGGCGAGCTCGGCGACCTCTCCCGCGGTGGTGGAGGTTGGCGGTTCGGAGCTGGAGGCTAGCCAGGTCGTGGTGAAGGCGGAGGCTGTGGACGAAGGTGAGTTTCCACCCCGGAGGTTGCCAATCGATCGGCGTTTACACGCAGCGCCGCTGGGCTCCCCGGTGACACGGATGTGCAGGCACGCCATGACGTACGCGATAGATGCGTTCCCGGAAAATCGCGCGTATCTCAAAATCGCGTTAAGTCAAAAGCAATTTTTGCTCATAAGAAATAACGGTCAAGGCGGAGGTTCGGGGATTTCACTCCCACTCGCAGACATAATCGCCTATATTATCTGAGCCTATGTCAATACCATACATGTACACACAATATAATTCTTTAAATTTAAAAGGAAAATCATGTGAACTCTAATATACTTCCTACAAAATAAAAATTCAAATGAAGAAATACAGTTTTACTTATCAGAGTATTTTTTTTGTTTGAATTCTGACCACAAGTATTGTGGTTAATGCAGACATGATTCCTTGTAAAAGGTTACAGTTTGGTGTTTTAACATCTTAACACAGCTGTTTTGTTGCCAGAAAAAAGGGGAAAACCTCTTCTCATATTTTTGTTCTGGCAAAGGAGTTCCCATGATACAGTTTTACTTGTAACTACACCGGAGTTGCGATGTGGAGAGGATGGATTGAAACGACGAGGAGGGAGACAGACTTGGAGTTGGTGGAGTTAAGGAGCCGCACGTGCGTGGAGAAAGAGTGGGTGGAGTTGCTGGAGGGACGGCGGGAGAGAGAGAGAGAAGGAGAGTGAAGGAGAGAGAGAGAGAGTGGAGGAGTCGGCTTTGCAGCGTGCGATCACAGCGAGAGACAAAGCGAAGAGTGCCGATGTACATGTGGCGTGATGCTGTACGGCACAGCGCACCGGTTATTGTACCGCACCGGCTGCTGGCAACGCCATTGGGTCGCGGTGCCAGGCTAGGGTGACGTAGGATGGCGTTATTCCCAAAATTGCCTCGCTATATGTAAATGAAAGGTCTAAATATAAAGCGCGCCGCGTTATTCCAAAATGGCGTACTGCAAAAGCACGTAAACTGAGGATTGCCTGCAATTGTGTGGGGGTTGACCGAGTTGTGATTAACTCAGAGAGCCGTGTTCTTGACATGACGGTTAAAAGTCAGCCAAAATGGAGTTCAAGACCAAAACCTGATGTGTGAATAACTGGAGACTGGGCTCAGGTCATTAACCCCCCCCCCCCCCCCACACACTTGCGAAAGCCGGTTGTCGCCTGGATCAGAACCCAGGATCTCAGAGGGGCCAGGACAGCACTCTGACTTCTAAGCCACCCGTTATCCTCTACAAACAAATCACGTTTCCTATCCGTTCTCTTGGTCGATGCCGCCGGTCGATGCTGTTGTTGTTGTTCGTTCCAGGCGGCTGGGGCAGGGAACCCGAAAGAATCTGGAACCCCGCCAGCGCCCTTTACGTTCAGCAGCAGCAGCAGGTGGTGGCGGACATCAAGCCGGTCGCAAACGTTCGCCGCATCCCGGCGCCGGCAAGGAACCCGGCTCGTAGTGGCGACCGCCCGCTGTCGCATCCCTACCCGCTGTCGGCGCGCGAACTCGGCGAGACCGGCGGCACCCACCACCACCACCGCCCCGTAATCGCCGCACGCCCCGGCGCGCCGGACTGGCGCCCCGGCCTCCGCCGCCGCTGCCGCCGACGAGTGGAACGGGCAGCTCGCGCTGGCGCCCGGCGAAGGCGGCGGCTACGGCGACGGCAGCGGAGACGGCGGCGCCGGCGTGTTCGGCCGCAACGCGAGCCGCTGCGAGGAGTGCGGCAAGGAGTTTTCGACGCCGTCGTACCTGACGATCCACCGGCGCACGCACACGGGCGAGCGGCCGTACAACTGCGAGTTCTGCGGGCGCTCGTTCGGGCACCTGGCGGTGCTCACCAGCCACCGGAGGCGCCACACGGGCGAGAAGCCCTTCACGTGCAAGGTGTGCGGCAAGGCCTTCTGCCAGAACTCGAGCCTCGTGTACCACATGCGCACGCACACGGGGGAGAAGCCGTACACCTGTGACGTGTGCGGACGCAAGTTCACCGTCTCCAGCAACTTCATTAAGCACCGGCGCTCGCACTTCTGAGTGCCGGCGGTGGTGGTAGCAGTGGTTGGTCGCGATGGTGGTGGTGGTAGCAGTGGTTAGTCGCGATGGTGGCGGTGGTGGTGGTGGTGGTAGCAGTGGTTGGTCGCGATGGTGGCGGTGATGGTAGCAGTGGTTGGTCGCGATGGTGGTGGTGGTGGTGGTAACAGTGGTGCGGCTGCGATGGCAATGCCACCGCCGGGATGGAGAGGGAAGCCGCGCCCTTCTGTCGATCGCCGTACGTACGCACGTGCGGACGGCAAGCTGGCGAGGTGGTGTGTGAGCGCAGTTCAAGGGTGGTACTACAGCAAGTAGGTTGTTAGGCTTGCGTGCGCTGTGCAGGAGTGGTTGAACGTCTAAAAAGCAGGAGCCTTTTGGGACGGAATACGATGAAAGATCTCTTGAGCCTGTACATGAACAGGGGCAGGGAATCGACAGCACGGATGGCTGGGGAAAGGGAGTTGCAGACTGGCGGAAGCAGAGGAGAATGAGCGACCGCCACTGAGTCGGAGCTGGCCGGAGGCTTCGATGGAAAGCCTTGGTGACTGGAGTGCAGCGGAGGAAGGAAGTAGAGTGAGATAGCGAGATGAGATGGGGCGGTGTGGGGGGTGGGCGTGTAGACGTCACAGCCTACTTGCTGTACTGTCACCACCAGGCAGCTCGCCGATCCCCACCCCACCGCGGTTTTGTCACCGCTGCGCGATCCGCTAGCAAGGCGTGTCGGTTGTCCGTGGCGGGTCCGCTGCGAATGTGTGTGCGTTTAACTTCTTTCGCCCCGTACCTAGCCAACCGTGCTAACCGGAGGCACGGGATATTGCGCCCGCGCGGATATCCGGAGCAGCCTCAAAACGAAGCCAGTACAAACCGACTGAGCATCACTGTGTGCACACTTCGTGTCCAAGGACACAGACACGACAGCGACAGGAGGATGAAGGAAATCATCGCAAGTGCTTTTTCGTTTTCAAGCGTGGATATGAAGTGTGTTTTTTTTCATGTTGGTTACTTTTCCCAGTTTGAGTTGTGCGTGGTGTGCGCCGGCGGTCGGAGCGGCGATGCTCGTCCGGATACGTGGCCTTTGCCGCCACCGCTCAGCACGCGCCGATTGACCGGGCGCGCCGATTCACTGGACGCGGGCGGAGGCCCCCAACGCCTCCGGCGGGGGTTTTGCAGCAGCGTGCCATTGCACGGGGAGACGCTGTGCCATGCCATGCCTCGCTTGGCACAGCGTCCAACGGAAACGCCTCGCGTAATGCTCGTTCGCAACCGAATATTCTGTTGACCTCCGCTCGGTGGGAGAGGTCTCTCGTTCTGTCCTGTTGCCCCCCCCCCCCCCCCCACAACGACCCCTTCACCACCATTAGGAAGTTTACGGGCCAGGAGCAGAACGTCGGATAATTGTGCCGTACTAGACAAGGTATAACCCCTTACGCCGAAAGCACATCGGAGAGAGATCAGCAAGCGTCAATATTTATTTTGGTCCAATCTGTCGAATCGGCCTAATCGGTGTGCCGAAATAATGTTGGCCAGCAGAGGCAGCAGTTAGTTTGGACGTTTGTGAGTGACAAAATAATTACAATCGATACTTCCCCCCCCACTACCCCCTGTATGCCAATTGTGTCCGACCGGCATGTCGGGAGATAGAAATTCTCTATCGGAAGTCTGTAGACTGCCGATTCTGAAGTCTGCTAAGTAGTGACAATTGGCGTTTTTAAGACCGGATTAAAAAGTATTTCTCTTCTGTCGATTTTAATTTTTGTTTAAATCTTTCCCACGCTCTTTGTTTAGGGAACGGCCCGAGAAGTTGATGTCGTAGAACTACTTCTGAAGTCAATTCAGTAGGGCGGGGGAAGGGGGACCTCTTTATCAGAGGTCGCAACCGGGTACCCGATACCCAGCTACCCGTACCCGGCCGGGTACGGGTAGCCGGGTATCGGGTATCGGGTAGCATTGTACCCGGCCGGGTACGGGTGTACGGGTACCCGTTTGCGACCCTGGTGCGGCCGGGTACGGGTAGGCCGTGAGTCACTGGTGAGTCACCGTTTGTCACTCATTTCCCAACGTCTTGTCTCTTCTCACAATTCAAGTTCCTAGAATCAACCCACCCGCACCTGCAACATGGCTTCATCCCAGAGGTCGCAATGGGGTACCCGATACCCTTACCCTACCCGTACCCGCCTGGGTACGGGTAGCCGGGTATCGGGTAGGGTACGGGTACCCATTTTGCGACCCTGGTGCGGCCGGGTACGGGTAAGGAATCACTTGCCGATAAGAACGACGTTTAATTCCCAGAGCCACAATTCAGGGAAATTCGTTGAGAAACTAAACTCCTGTTTTATTTTATTTACGCGTGGTTATTGGTGACCGGGCTGTGATAGCCCCCATCGACTCGGGATGCTGGAGGATCCCTGTTTTATTCGTGAAAACCTGGAGTCGAACCCAGGTCTCGGTTGTTCCGACTCAAAGTGGCCCTGACTACACTCTATGAGCAACCGGGCCAAAACGGTTTCACGAATCGATCGGCAAAACTCCGAATCGTGCCCCTGAATCGAGTCGGTGAGTCGCCGCGTGCCGTGCGATTGGTGATGTTTTTCTCGTGTGTGTGAGAGAATCTTCTGGCCAGTGTGAATACTGTAGCCTTTACAATGGTAATAATTTATAGACCTTTGTCAATCCACTGCTGGATGGAGGCCTCGCCACCACCGCATGTTGGTCGTGGGAGTGAATGTTTGACCATACTTCATGGCGGTGGTCAATGTGACTCGATGCAGGGATGCCGCGGTCCAAGACGCATTTGGATCCACGATGTTTGGCCGTGGCCGGGAATCGAACTCGGGTCACTGGGTTCATAGTGCAGTCCGCTAACGACTGTGCCGCCACTGCACCCCACTGGAGCTATAATAATTACGCAGGAAAGCCTCGGTGAGCCTCAAGCATATGTTTTCAGGGAGGTCCTACTGCTACACGTTGGTATGTTTGGCGATTTGAAATGCACGAGTCGTCGGCTGCGTGTGGGAGGCAGAGTACCCAAAGAAAACCCCACCACGTGGATCCGACAGCGGAACGAGCAAGCAACCCACTTGCCGTACCTTGCTGCGCTGCCACGTGATCCGGCCCTTGCTTTCCGGCGGGGGGGCGGGCGGGCATCTCCGCATGATCCATCAACCCCATGGGTCCCAATCTGCCGCGACTCTCAGCTCCTCTCACTATCCGCTGTATGCAACGGGGGGCGGGGGGGGGGGGCCGCGCGCATTTTCTGGAAAGTACCGTGATCTTCTGTAAACTTTCGACAAAAAGCTGTTACCAAAAAAATAATATACATTGTTTTTTTTTTGCCCTCTGGGGCTTAAAGTTCGTCTCACGCAGGACCAATAATAGAGCCGTTTTAACCGTGAGCGCCGATGAGTTTTCAGTACCGAGGTGGGTGGAGGAGGGCACGTGACTGTTGTGACGGCAAGGGCTTCTGCATTTATTCGTGCCGGGTCTGTCCCGCGGTGGTTGTCAATGAGGTATTTCCCAGACCCGGCACTCCCAAGTACTGTATACCTCTCGTCAATGGCCGTGTGGCTACCGAAAGCCGCGTAACCTTGGTCCAGTCTTGCCAGCGCGCGACACCGAAACAAAAGGTCACAACTGTTATTTATGAAAGTCCTGGTTGTCGTGAAGCGATTGAACTGCAATAACTAACTGCGTAGGTGGTTGCGTTGTTGTGGCGTTGGCGGTTGTGCCGTCGCCCCGTTGTGTGGGGGACGCGGCGCGTGCCGACGTTTCGCTGCGCGTGCCTGGAAGTTTTTTGAAAGCGAGGAGGACTTGGAGAGGTGCACGTGGTCACGTGGTACTGTACCGGGAGGGCCGCGCAGTTCGGTCACGCCGGCTGGTGATGCTTTTGTGGTCGGCGTTTGCATTGCATTGTGGGGGTTTCTTTTTTTGTGTGTGTCTATTTGGCAATCGCTGAAACGAACGTTTTGGTTACCGTGTCTGATTTGTCTAACACTGGTTTTGAGTTTCGTGAAATATTCGCCGGCTGTTCTTTTGCGTTTTGAGTTTTGTTAGTTTTTCATTCGACAGTATTTGGGGGGGGAGTTGGTTTGTGTTAATGATGTCACTGGAGTTTTGTCACTAATAAGTTACGAACTACTGGGCCTGTTGTGTTTTATACGGTGTTAGCGAATTGACACGAAGTCGCTCTGCTCACTCGTAAATGTTATTCATTGACGATGATGTCATGCTAATCACGATTTTAAATAATTAGCACACGTTTTTGAATGACTCTTGATGAAGACAATGCTAAGATTGGCACGGACTTTGTGTCAAGTTAGTCCGTCTAGAGTTTGTCTGTTTACTACTACTACTAATGACGATGATGATGAAGTGTCGAGCGAATGTCACGTTTTGTGTTTTTGTTTAGTTTTGTCTGATTACGTTGTTTTTCTTGCATGTGTGCCGAACATTTGATGCAGCGCAAAGGAGGATCTGTACGGGCGCCATCGCCTCTGGGTCAAAACGACGATGTTATGCATTTCCTGTAATTAAATGATAACACTTTAAGACTTCGGCCGGCGTTTCGTGCGTGAGTGTTTGTGTCGTTTTCATTGGTTATGGAGGAGCAGCGGTTAGCGAAACTGCGCTACAAGACCCGGCGCTGACCAGAGTTCGGATTCCAGCTCACGGCCAACAACGTCGGTGATAAATATCTGAACCGGTCCTTGGGGCCTCTCCTAGGTCGACTCGGCCTTTGAGGGAGTACCGGGTGCGGTCTGTATAAAATATTAGCACTGGGGAGACAAAGGCGGCCGAGCGTACGTGGTGTTGGCCGTTGTCGCGAGATCTTTACTACCTCGCCTGCTATACAGGAGGTTGTGGGTTCAATCCCGACCATAACGCCTGCTGTATATTTGGAGTTTTAGTATCTCTCTGTTGTCGCGTGGATTTTTCTCCATGCCTTCTGGTTTTTCCCCGCCACAATTAAAGTCTAAATGCGTTTAGAGTATTTGGCAACTGCTATAAATTTCCACGCGACGATAAGCCACTTCTACGAGCTATGATTTGCGATAGCCAGGTCGTTTCTGAAAAAAGAGTTTCATAGCTCGGTGGGCCTTTCCTGGTAAAATTAAAAAAATTTAGTTAATAGTTTTTCGTGCGTCGTGCGGGCCTTCATAGCTGCTCGATAACAGCACTTGCCCCAACAGCAACATTACAGACGGTCTCCGATTTACGAACACCCGCACTTACGAACCAGCCTCCGTGAAATATTTTTTTTTGAACACCGACTTAAAACGCGAACTCTCACCTGCCAATTGAACTGCGACACTTTTTTTGTCCGACTGAGCGATCCTCCACGAGATGTAAACGAGTCGGCCTCGTGCTGGGAGTAAGAGTTTTGTGTGTTAATGATCATTTAAATACGGTAGATTACTGTTCCTACTTACGAACCGCTCCACTTACGGGCCCCGGGAACGAATTTCGTTCGTAAGTCAATGACTGGCTTATACGCTAAACGGGCGGGGTAGGGGGACATGTCTTTGTCATTGGCTCCAAGTCACGAAGATGGCGAAGCCATTAGGATATCTCGCAGGGAGGCAGATGCCGTTAACCACCCGTTTGTCGTGAGTTTCAGGCGCAGCGGCGACTCTTCAAAAGTACTTCTGAAACGCCCTTAAAACTGGCGTTTACGTTCGCGCACAGGAGATGGCACACTCGTGCCGTTCGACACAACGTTGCTGTGAAATTGTAACAGGACGTTGCAGTCTTAATAAGTATAACCCGTAAAAACAAAGTTTTTCACTATAAATTCTTTATATGCGTGGCGGCTAGAGTCCTCTCGTCCTCTGGCTTGAGATGGCTGCCACCTATGGGTCAGATGATTGTCTGCCAGTATTAAGCAATTGGTAATTAAATATTTAATTTGTTTTCCCTAAACAGTGTAAAATTTTGGAAAAAAATTTTCACGAACATTAATTGTCTCGCACAACGAGTCTGTGTGCAAAATGTCAGCTCGATTGGATCACGGGAAGTGGGTTAAAAAACGACCAAAAGATTTGCACGGTCGTAAGCAAGCACGCAAGCACGCAAGCACGCAAGCAAGCAAGCGAACTTAATAAAAAGGATTTAAAAAGCGACGGAGCTTTTCATTTTCAAAAGTTGCACTGTTTCAAATGACGTGGCAAAGCTGATATACAGCAGGAAGCGATGGGGCTCTGGTGTGTGACGGCCATTTGTGACCTAAGCGGAGACCTTTAACTCTACACTTGTAGGGGTGTTACGGGAGGGCGAACAAACACACAAGAGGTGGTTATGCCCGCACGCGGAAGGATGCTTACATCCACGTCCGCATCGGTTAGCCCTGGGGGGCTGTAACGGCGCTGTGATCCCCCACGGCCCCACCCCTTGGGGGGGAGTTGCTGTATAAGGTGGTGAGCCGGTGGGCTCGGGGTTCAGTGTTTAGCTTAAACCAGTGAAGACCGGCTAGATAGGCCCTGGGACTCCCCTGGCTCGCTGTCCTTCTCAGGACCGACCAGGGCAAGCCAGTGGCATGGCCCCGAGAGCCCAGAGCTGATGCTCTTGTAAGAGCCGGTCTGGTGGCTAAGGGTGCCGTGATCCCAGCTTGACCAGAGCTGGATCAGCTAGCCTCCCCTAGTTCTCGAGTGGACGACCTGGGAGTAGGCTAGCTGGTTAGAGCGACTGGGGTCTCCCTGTTAGACGGGTGAAGGGGCCGTTACCCCTTCGAGTGTTGTATACATTGGCCTGTGCTGAGTGGAACGTTATAATAAGTAAGTATTCCTCCGACTACGTCGTCTACGTCTCATTGAACCTACTACACACTCGAGAACCCGGGTTCGTCAGCGGTGGCTCCAAGACGGGTTCGAACCCAGACTCTCAACAGCGACAGGCTTCTGAGCTACACCCAATCGCACCTTTCTGCGTTTGTCTGTCTCTCTTTGTGTTTGGAATTTAGCATCTGCCACTAAACCTATAACACCTATACCCCGCTACTTAAGGAACGAAACAGGAGGACTTCTCCACAAATCTGGCTGTCGCCTGATGAAGCTGGTTGTAATTACTGGCGAAACGTCGTGCTCCGATTGTAAATGTTGTGGCTTGGCTCTCCAACACACCGGTGTGCTGTACTAGTGACAAATTGGCATGTTCTGTTTACGTGACAAACCTTTACTAATTGGCTGTGTCGGGTGGTGGCGGGTTTAACGACACATTTTTACAAGATCTAACAACAAAAACTTGTATTATGGATGATATTGGTCGCAAAAGCCCTTCGTTTTAAATAAACCTATAACACCTGGATCTGTCCCGGGACCTTACCAGCAGTTCACTTCAGAGCGCACCTAGTCTGGCACAAGCACCGTGGTGATGCCGCTGTTGTCATCTGTATTTGTACGTTTGTCCATCTCCTGGCCTGTTTCCCTGTGTTGCTCTCCCTGCCCTCCAGTCGGCCTATGCTGATGTTCCACATTATTACTTTGTCCATCAGTACTGGTTTACGATGTATGTTGAACTTCTTTTGCACCGTACGTATAGCCAACCGTTCTAATTGGAGGAGTGGGGAAAGGACAAACTAAACACGAAACGCAATTATATAATAAATTAGTTTTCAATCTAGATTTCAAACTGCATTGCTCCAGTGGCTTCCGAATGACGGAAGAGCGTTCCAGACGGCCGCAGAAGCGTTTTTGCGATGTCGCGTGATGGTTTATGCTCCATGACAGAGAACGGCAAGGAACTGTGGTTCAATTTCGATTTTAAAGCTTTCGTGACTGCAGGGATTCATATTCTTGGTTCTTTCGGTAAAGTCACGTGGCGTTTCATTCTTCACCTGAGGACGGCTGCTTGCGTTGTGGCCGAAACGTCGTGAGAATTATTTTATTATGTTTTATTTTTATTATTTTATTACTTCCCTTCTACGTGACTTTACCGAAAGAACCAAGAAAACTGTGGTTCAATTGTGGCACGCGCGTTGTGTGTAACGAGCGCGACCTCGCAATGTATTCGTTCAGCAACCAGAAGCCAACGCAGCATGGCGAGCACTGGACGGACACGGTCAGATCTTGCAGTCACCCCATCGCGACACGTGCCAACAAGTTCTGTGCACGCTCGCTAATGTTTGAGCTTGGGCACGAACAGCGGAATGGAGTTGACAGCACGGACGGCAGGAGGCGGCGGTGGCGGGGTGGGGAGAGAAGTTCCAGACATTTGGCAGCAGCACAGGAGATGAAGTGACCTACCACGGAGTTGGCAAAATAAATAGGTACCGTGCCCCATGAGTTATCTTGTGAGTTGGGCACGACTTCCCTTGGAACGCTCACGATTGTGGAATTTCCCAGAAACGCTCGGTACGCAACAAGAGATCAATACCCAATTGCAGGAAACAAAAAACAATAATTGAAGTGTTTAATGTTGAATCGGCCTGCAATTCGTAAACTTTTCCACCGCACACGACTTTATTCTTGAACGTGTTCGGTCACGCATGTCCTCTCCACCCGAATACTGACGCAGGGATTTCAGGCCCGGCACACGTGAGGATTTTATACATTTGCCAGAGATAAAATCAGAATCTTTATTTAGACTGCCCGGGGGTCTGGCTGTAGCCCCCAACTTATACGGACATCTCGGGGAGTTGTCCGTAGACACACGAGGATTAACGAATTACTTGCTATTCGATTTAAAGCTTTCGTGACTGCAGGGATTCATCTTCTTGGTTCTTTCGGTAAAGTCACGTAGAAGGGAAGTAATAAAATAATAAAAATAAAACATAATTAAATTTCGATTTAAAGCTTTCGTGACTGCAGGGATTCATCTTCTTGGTTCTTTCGGTAAAGTCACGTAGAAGGGAAGTAATAAAATTATTATTATGTTTTATTTTTATTATTTTATTACTTCCCTTCTACGTGACTTTACCGAAAGAAGCAAGAAGACGAATCACTTGCTCATTACGGAAACGGAATTATGCCGGGACGGCAGCTTTCGAGCCGAGCTCACACCTGAGCTCGCAACTTGAGTTGCATGCAACCAAATCGTTCGTCTGCTTCCAATTTTCTACACGTGGCGCAAACCACCGGGTGGGTGGCAGAGTCAAGGATTCTAGATTTGAAGCTTTCGTGACTGCAAGGATTCATACTCTTAGTTTTTCGGTAAAGTCACGTAGGTAAAAAAATGAAATTAAAATTAATAAAAAATAAAATAATAAAAATCACGACGTTTCGGAGGCAACACAAGTCTCTGTCATCAGCAAGTCTGGCTGTGACGGTCCCACCTGATGACGGAGACTTGTGTTGCCTCCAAAACGTCGTGATTTTTATTATTTTATTTTTATTCATTTTAATTTCATTTTTTACCTACGTGACTTTACCGAAAAACTAAGAGTCAAGGATGTCCATGCGTGGGGAAAGAGAGAGGAACGGGAATGGGGAGAGAGCGGGGAAGGAATTGGAAATGAGATCAGTAAATAATGAGGAAAAGGAAATGAGAGGAAAATTATGGAAAAAGAGCGGAGAAACGGAAGCACGGGGTGGGAGAGATGAGGAATCTGGAGTGGATCTTTCCCGGATTGCATGTTCCCCAAATGTGGACTGGATTTCCAGGAAAGCGAGATTTGGAAATATACTTACTCAGGAGAATTGTAGGACTTTTTTTATCAGGAGGGTTGATGCTTTGGGATTTAATTTTAAGATGTTTTCAGCCAAACCAGGTCGATTGAACCCGCCTCCTCTGTCTGTCCTCCTTGTCCACCCGACGGCCCCTTACTGCACACGCTGACACCACCGCAGTTCGACAGAAGATCGGCATGCAGGTGGCTTGCTTGTGGTGGGGTGAAGTGTGGGAAACTCCCTCCTCTTCCACGACGTCTCGCCAGCGTGGAAGAGGAGGCCAAAAGCACCCTCCAGTTGGGCTTTTCTTAGAGCTCCCTCTCGGGCGCCACGATTGCTAGGAGATGTTAACTACCTCGCCTGGTATACAGGAGGTCCTGGGTTCGATCCCGACCCTGACGCCTCCTGTATATTTGGATTTTGCATGGTGGCGAGATGTTAACTATCTCGCCTGGTATACAGGAGGTCGTGGTTTCGATCTCGACCCTGACGCCTGGTGTATTTTTGGAGTTTGCATGGTGGCGAGATGTTAACTACCTCGCCTGGTATACAGGAGGTCGTGGGTTCGATCCAGACCCGGACGCCTGCTACATATTTGGAGTTTTCATGTCTTTGGCTGCTCTGGAGTTTCACTTGTGGCCAGGTCGCTTCTGACAAACGAGCTTCATCGCTCAACCTTCAAGCGTCCTTACCTGGTAAAATGAAAAAATATATTTTCATAGTTGGATAGATCAGTCCACTTGCCGTGCCGCCTTCTGCTGGTGATCCAGATGATGGCAACCCTTCTCTCGAGGCGAGTCCAGCCCCCAGTTTAATCTCAAATTCATTGGCGCGCCGTCACGTCCACGTGTGAGTGCTCTTCGGCGATAAACAAACACACACGCGCACCTCGCGCTAAAAAAAACCCTCCCAAGACGCCAAATAATAAACAATCTCGAAACAAATTTTTTTTTCAACCATCGTGAATTCCTAAAGACGACGGGGGGCAGGGGGGGGGCGTGATGGAGAGAGGGGGGTGCAGAGAGAATTGCTGCAAACTCAACTCATGGCCAACATTTGAAAGGAAACAGCAATTCCCCCGAGCTCACGAGCTTACGAGACGAGATCGAGTGTGGATGATGATATTGTGGCGATAATATCTGATGTTCGTGAATTTAATAGCGTGGAATGCGCGACTGGTTTTGTTGTTAATTAATAAGCCACGGTTGCTGAGCAAAGGCCCACCGGTTTGTCGTGTCCATCTTATCATCATTATTACAAAACGTTTCACATAGCGCCTTGTTCCAAGGCGAATTAACGGCAATTATAAAATTCCACCTTCGAGTATAGTGGTGGAGTTATTAAAAGTGGTGCTGTAGTTATAGGGGGGGGGGTCGTTTGTCTTTGTACCGCGATTGTTTATAAATATTCCACGTCCGTGGCTTTGACATTGCCCCCCTCCCCATCTCTCTCTTCCTTCTCTTCAAAGTCTCTGGGGCATCCATCAAACCGAATCATCGGAATATCATCAACAGGACGATGCACGCTTCTTCTCCATGAACGGACAATTACAGTCACGAGCCACAGGAATTACTCGTTGGTTCTTTCGCTAAAGTCACGTAGAAAATAAAATCAAATAATAACAGAATACGACGTTTCGGTTGCAACACAAGCAGCCATCATCAGGCAAGAATGAATGATAAAACACAGACACGGAAACAATATAAGCAGACACACATGCAGAGACACACCGAGCGAGACACACACCAAGTCAAACAGGCTGCTTGTGTTGCAGCCGAAACGTCGCATTCTATTATCACGTGATTTTATTTTCGACGTGACTTTACCGAAAGAGCCAAAGAGTAATTCCTGCAGTCACGACAGCTTCGAATCTAGTTTGAGTCACAGTCGTAGCGCTATAGTGGCCATGCAGCCCAAACTATGTGCACCGTGCACATGTACGTAACGTTGAACTTCTTCTGCACCGTACGTAGCTAAACTGCCCTCATCGGAGGTCCGGGGGAAGGACAGCAAACGACAGCGCACAAAAAAAAGCAGTTTTAAAGAAATGAGTTTTCAATCCCAGTGGCTTCCTCATATCACCGACAGATAGTTCAAGTTCAAGTTAATTTATTAGGTATAGCCCTGTGAGCCATTCGGCTCTTGAATCGGGTGCAACCGCAACACACAAAAAACTAAAACATGAACAAGAAAACATCTTAAAGTGCAAACAGAAAATCCAAGAAAAGACCGCAAAATATTGCAGAAAAAGCACCGTACACTAACACTGTGTGCAAAAATCCCAGTAGGATGCAAGTCAAACAACAACAACCACAAGACAACTTAGATTAAGGCCATCAGTCTAACTCTGTACTACAACAAACAAACATGGCCAAACCAAACAACTTTTCGAAAATCACCAAAATAAATCCATAAAAGCAATGAAACAGTGATCATAGGAACAAGATACTGGCTGCCAGCAGCCCGGGGGGCGGGGGGGGTGCTGGTTCCAATGTTGCGATGTGTAAAGAACCACACCGAGTAATAGGTTCTTTTATTGCGGCGTCGTGAATTTTGGGCCACGTGCCGGCACGTGACGCCCCCCCCCCCCGCGTTCCCAGTGACGTCAGGGGTCTTTATGACGTCAGCGCGTGACGCAGACGCGCGTTGTTTCCCGCGGTTAATCCGCCCCGCAGCAGTAACCAGGGGCGGCCTGCCCGATTCGAACCGTGACTCTCCCCCCCCTTTTGCAACGAGCAGCGACCGCGTGCTATGCCTCGCGTCACCCGCCCTGAGATTGTCTGAGTGAGTGTGGCTGACGAGAGGCACAGTGTTACTCATCCATTACACAGGGGCTCGTTTGTGGGTTACATCGCGCAAATATATAAATGTGTCGTGGGAGAGCACAACGATTGTGCTGTGGTCGTAACGAATTGGCACGTTCCGTTCACGTGACAAACCTTACGAATTGGCTGTGTCGGGTGGTGGCGGGTTGAACGACACATTTATATATTTACGCGATCTAACCCAAAAAACAACCTGTATTATGGATATTGGTCGCGAAAGCCTGCGTGTTAAACAGTATTACTTATAGTGATAGGTTTTTACCCTTAAACTGGTACAAAAACTGACACCTTTATACAAGGCATCATGTTTGCAATAACCACAACACAAGCAGTCAAATTGCAAACAAAAAGAAACAACTCTGATAATTATATGCACTGTCCTTGAAGTTGATTGGTCCACACCCGAGACAGCTTTTCTTAGAGCCTAGTCTCCGTTGGTGTTGGACCAGATGACGCCAGAAGGCGTACAACTCAAAAACAGCGCACTATCAGAGTATTGAGAGCTCGGGGTAAGCATTTACACTGAGACCTCTTTTACCAGTGGCAAAATATAGTGATAGGTTTTTACCCTTTAAACATCTATCACTATATTTTGCCACTGGTAAAGAAGGTCTCATAGTATTACTCATGTTGAACTTCTTTCGCGCCGTACGTAGCCAACCGTGACAATCGTAGGTGCGGATTACAAGGCGAGCAGGTGATTTACAGACAGCAAAAGGCACGATTGCGACCACAGGATCGGTCTTCCCATCATGCCTTGCACGTCACGTGACATCATCATCGCCATGCGTGTCATGTCATCTTCTCTCGCGGTGCCTGTACGTGCACGTGACGCTACCTCACGAGTAGCTCCGGCGTGTCCACTTCCGTGGGATGTTCTCCGACACCGCTGCTCTGTGAGATTTACAAACTGTTCTTTTCTTCTCGTGCCATGATGCCGATAGCACCACATCATCATCATCGTCATCATCATCATCCTCATCAGCCTCATCATCATCATCTTCATCATCCTCATCATCATCATCCTCATCGTCATCATCAGCCTCATCATCATCATCCTCCTCATCATCATCATCATCCTCATCATCATCATCATCCTCATCATCCT